ACCACCCAGACACACATTTCCAGATACAGCCTGCTTTCAATTCTTAACATGCCGTGTTGGAGCACCCAGTGTGATGGGAAGTCATGCCAGGAAGAACTCTGTTCTCTCCAGGTGAGGAACATGGTATCTTAAAAAAAGGTATTGAGATAGCCCATATCACAAAATACCCGTTTTCTCACATGAGAAAATTGATTTAGGCTTTTAGAAAAATAAGAAAAAAAAATACATCAAGTATAATTACCTAAGCAAATTCAAAGTTTAAATACATTTTAAAAGACCTGTAGCTTTGAACCCCAAGAAAAGAACAAGGCATCTGTAGGAAACAAAGGTGAAAAAATAAACTTCTTCAAATACAAAAAGTGATCTACTTTCTGATCAGTTCAAGTAAATTAACAAACAGAAGTAGCATCTGACAAGTAACAAGTGCTTGGTTTCAGCTAGCCAAAAGCCCCAAAATATACACATAACTCAACAGCATATGGCAGCCTATGTACAGCATTCCAGGAAGAGGGCTGCGCAGAGACCTTTCAGTCCTGTGATGTTCCCTAAAAGACAGCACCCTTTTTGATATTGTCACAGAAAATGAAGTTTATAATTAATGCATAAAGTAAAAAAATATTTGGATTTGACATAAATTGGAATTCCTAGAGAATTAAAAAGAAGCGTTCATGCAGGACACCTGACCAGCAGTTCTTCTGAGTGGACTGAAAGCAGTGTGCAGGGCCCGTTTCAGGACCCAGCAGCTGTTGGTGCACACAAGAAGCCTCTCAAACTGCCTGACCGCAGTGGCCTGAGAACAGGAGACCAGCCCTGGAGCAGCTGTAACACTGAAGGGAAACCAAATCACGCTCTCCAGGCACAGGAGGTGTGAAAGAGGAGCAGTGGATGCTGAGCTGCCCAGCGGAGGGATGAGCTGTTTCTTGTGTGTCTCCACAAGGGATGGACACCCACCAACTGCAGAGCAGGCCTGGGCCAGCCCTCAAGGAAGGATGAGAAAAAGAAGAGGCTGAGAGCTGAAGGATGTCCATAAGGCTTTGAGTCATCTGCCTCCATGCTCACCAATACATGTGTTGAGCCCCTCAGACATGCCCCAAGCTGCTGGTATGCTGCAGTTCACGGATTCCCTTCAGAGAATGGCTTTATGAAATGCCACAGGTTTTCTGGCACCCTCCTTCTAGTCAACCTCTCCTGCCCCAGGTGACCATGTGCCACTGTTCCATTCCCATTCATTTAAACATTTCCCTTGTGTCAAGCACCTTCTTCCCTCAAAATATCTGACTGATTAATAAACTAAGTAATACCCAGAGGCTGCTCTTAGGGTTAGTTCTCCTCAGAAAATGTGCCTGAAGGCTTGCCATGTTCTCTGGCTTCCTAACATAACACATCTTTCTCCTCTTGGACTAGATACAAGTGCTAGGAACTCTATTCAGAACAAATGCCAATACAATTTTTTTTAAGAATCTATTAATTTCTTACCGTTTTTAAGCAAAAAGGAACCAGATGTTAATTTCTCAGAAGAGCTTCTCCAGAATCCAGCACTTCCAGTCTGGGAATGCCTCCCTAACGGCTGATGCAAAAGTTGGCTCCCTCAGCACTTCTGCAGTATGAAGGTTATCAGAACCACTCAGTGATCTACAGTGGGACAGCACTGCCATCACCCTAGCAACAGCACAAGAGGCTGCAGTGCTGCTTATGTGCCATGAGCTTGGACTATAGCTGCCCAGATCTCTTAATAGCACTTTCCATTTCTATCACACTGTAGCCAGTTCCTTAGGACTAAATTAGGAAACAGACAACCCTAGACATCAAGAGTGAAACAATACAACTCCTCTCCCTCTTTTTCAGAATCTGCCTCTGTACAATTGGTTTTCTCCAACTTTTCTTTTGTTCAGTCCCCTGAGCTCCGTAGGACTCGCATTTTCTTCTCTCGTGTTCTTTCTCAACAGTGTCTGGTCTTGTAGGATTTATCCTTCCAATGTTTGCAAGCTGAATGCAATCAAACTCTATGCACGACACCTTTACAAGGACAGATTCCTAATTTTTCTGAATCTCTCCTGAACTCAAGTTATTTTTGCAGCTAGTTACCAGGACCTGCAAATTTCGTTTTCAAGTTCTTCTCAAGATTATTTCAGCATGTGCTTATAGCAGGAGAAAGAGGAAAATTCTGCCATCAGGGCAGAAAAAATCTGCCATCAGGGACTTCTGAAGGTTCCTCCTGTCACTGTCTCACTGCTAATACCTGTGCTCTTGCTAAAGCCAGACATCTCTTTTTATAAGCAGAAAAAATGGCAGAGTAGCTTAATTACAGGCAATGACAACATACTTGCTAAGTTCATATCACCATCAGAAAATGTGCCAGATGTTGGTTAAGGACAACACCATGAGTTCTTAGCAGTTTTACACCTGAAGTTATGCAACCATGACTAACCCAAAGTTCAAGTTCTCAGGTAGAATAGCATTCACCTTCCTGGGGGTCACATCTTGTGTACTCCCTGTCAGTATGAATCTGAATTGGATGGGAGTGGAGAGATCATAAAAATATCTTTGCTTCCTTCTGTAACCTCTAGAAAGCTACAGAAACAGTAGGTAGCATTCATGACCTAAACCTGGTTCAGAGTGGGTGCTGGAGCCTCCTCTGGTCAGTAACATTGAGTCTAAATAGAGTTCCCAGCACTCCAGCTGAGATCCTACAGTCACCACCAAAGGGTACTCTTTAAAACTTCATAACAGCATTTTCTCCACCAGTAAGGAACATAAAACCAGCCTATACACTGAGGCACACATTCTGTCTTATCTTAGAATAAAACTTTTTTTTTTTTTTTTGTTGGAAGAAAGAAGCTCATAAAAATTATTTGGGCCTATTTTCTCCTCTAAGCAAAATAAATACGAGAAATATAACACATGGAATGCACTCTGGAAAATAAATGTTATCGTAATTATGACACTGCAAATAGAAGAGACAAAGGCTCAATTTTGTGCCTTATAAATTATCTATAGTTCATGCAGTGTCATGGGGACAAAAAATGCACCAAGTATTTCAAAGATTAAATTAACTTATCGAGAAGAGTGAAAAGTGATTGTGAACCCAAGTGTCTATGGGAGAGAGCTTTATTTCCCACTGGTGCGTGGCCGGGTCTGTGACACGTGGTAATAGCAATCTGCTGGATTGCATCTTCCATTGGGTCCAGGTGGCCCCTGCGGTCCGGGTGACCCTGGAGTTCCTGGCGGGCCTGGCAGGCCAGCAGCTGGTAAAATAAAGTCAGAATTAGCACAGTCCCCTCCAGGGCACATGCAGTGTCCTTCCTGCAACACATCCCTGAATGTTAGGTTGATACCAGCTTGTGTGCAAGATAGTGGGTGTATCCAACCCCATGCTATAGCAAAATCAGAAGGAAATTCCCTGATGTAAAACTGGTGTGAGAACCAGGAGGAAAGGCATGTTAGTTCATAAAAAACAATAGCATAAAATATATCTGCAGACTTGTACCTGCATGGCCAGGAGGTCCAGGATTACCAGGCAGTCCAATTCCAGGCTCACCTCTTTCCCCTTTCTGTCCTCTATAACCTACACAGAAGAGAGATATGAAAATAAAAGTGTCCTCTTATTATAAACAGTAATCCTCTGTAGACCTTGTTGACAAGAAATTATCAAGATAAACATAATTGTGAAAACAACTACTCACTTCCCTTTTTTCCCCAATGTTTCCTGAGACACTTAACTCCATTCCTATATTCTTTCTGAAAACATGACAATTTCTAGCTGTAACTGCTACACCCTCTGCCAGAGGAGTCTCACTATATTTAGTAGCCCTTTCTATTAACCTTTCCCAAAGATTTTAAGTTACCTTCCTGAAGTTCCTGTAAAAAAAGATAAGAATGTATATTCTGCTCCAGTGTTATCTGTTTGATGACGCGGTACAAAGCACCAAGCAGAAGGACATCTGGGTTCCAGCTGGAAGCTGTGTGCTTGGATATTCCCCTCTATGTGCAAGAAGATCTTCTCCATATCTATTGTAATGCACCTGCCCTAAGAAGCTGTTTTTGGAGCTTGTGCAGATTATGGGTTCTAGTACAGAAAGCCTTCTTGACCCAAGTAACTATACACTGTTAACAAGGTGTGATTGTGTTTCCTCCCAAACACCCCAGAATTTGGCATGTAAGGTGACAAATATTAAAGATTATTTTGCCAAATTCTGATCACACTTGGAATTAAATTAGCTCTGGTTCCAGGACCAGTCTATTTCCTGTGTCACATATGTCACACAAGAGAGTTCCTCTTGTGAAGAGATGTAGCTTATACTGAATTAAAAGAGAAGAGGCACAGCTGACCAGTAAGCATAGTGGAGTCAGTCCACCTAGTGTCTCATGAATGACCAGCAGATAGAAGACAAGGGTTGTGTGTCAGTGTACTGCAGTCTATGCAACAGTGGTACTTTACACGGCAATCTAGAAGGAAACTATTTCAATTGCTGTGGGTACAAATTCAGGCTTGTTACAACAGACACAACGCAAGAGGAAAGGTACACAGTACTCAAACCTTCTGTTAAATGCAGGCTTACTGCAGATTTTGGTAGCAGGTGGCATTCTGGATTTCAAGACAGTGCACCAAGTATTCTTTATCAATGATCTCTCAGCACTCCACAGAGGCAAAAAACGTTATGAAAGGCATGCAGGGTGACATGCACAACACAACAAATGGAAATAAAGCGTTTAAAAACTTACAGAGAAACAAACAAATTGTGCATTCTGGTTACTGAGTTGTGTTAAACAGAAGTGCAAAAGCATATAGGCACACAGGCTATAAGAACTCAGAAAAGCCAATATGAATGTGTTTTACTCAGCTGTGACCACTGATTTTCTCTTCAGTGACTGTAGCAGTGCTTGTAACTATAGCAAGTTGGTTGGTTTCAAAAACCTTGTGTAACACATAGTAGTGGCTACTGCTTGAGAAGCTCAATCACACAACCACAGGATCTATTACATTTCCTATTTATTATAGATCTCTGTATTTCTTAGTTTACAATAGATAATTACAGTACATTTCTCGCTACAAACCCAGTTAATTGTACTTTTACAAAGTAGTGCTGTCACTAATCATCGTTTTGGGAAAAAGAGAGAAATCACATTTACGATGCATCACATTTACAAAGTCCATGATAACCATTACTGTAGATATCTGACACAATGCAGTTGAAAAGAGATTGAGATAGATCAAAAGTTTCTGCAAACATCAATGGAATTCAAGACAATAAGAAAAAAAAAGTAGTACAAACAGCAGCCTAACTATGCAAATGTATGAACAAGGGTAGTGTAAACAATTACTGGCTGTATCTGCATACATATGAAAGTTGTAGGTGGTACATACTGGCAGATGTTCTGTTGACACTGGAAGTTAATACAAAATTTCCAGGTATGTTTTCTAAAAATAAGGCTTTATTTAACAAAATATAAGCATATCAGTAAACAGGCCTGCACTTAAACAGTCTAACAATGCAATATGTAACCTTAGCAGTAAAATACTGGATTTTAAATGAGGTATATTTGCTCAGAACTAGGTCCATGATTACTCTTCTAGAAGTAATATCACCTTCTCTCTGAGCTTAAAACGACAAACTCATACATAGTTAAAGAAAAATATTACCAAACACTTAAATTAGATTTTGATTTATTTTTTTTTAACATAAAGGCACATGTCTATTTTTATTGGTAGAATTACAATTCCAGTAAGAGGAACTGCTCAATTCAAAAGATTTTAGCAAAGCCTTTCACTTAGGTTCTAGAAGTTTTGTTATAATTTCTGCAACACAAAAGTTGCATGTAAACATGTACCCAGGATGGGTAATATGGTAAACACTTGGTAGTAGTACGTAGCAAGGATGTATTTTAAGAGAGAAGCATTCTCCTTCTGTTCATAGATTGAGTGGCCACTGCTAAAATAGAGCTTTTGGTTCAGTGATAACAGAACTACGAATCTGAGCGTCAGAACGTCACTGTTGTAACACCCTCAGCTTTACTTGGAAATGATGCAAGTTTGTGTCTATGTGTTAGGGAAGTAAAAAGCCATCCCATTTAAACAACTCCAAAAGTGTTCTAACTACATTACTGAGACCTTGTTCTACAGATAGCTGAAACCAGCATGCCAGTATCTAGAGAAATCATTGTTTTTTTGATGCAAACAAAAGCAAACACACTAATGTGACAAAGAACAACGGTTCTGAAGTATCCACAGTATTACACAAATACTCTGCATATCACTGCAATCTTAAAAGCAAAAAACTGCAAAGCAACCTTGCAGCTGAGAGGTAGCAACTGAATGTCTAGTCAAAGTAAACCAAGTTAACTTCACCCTACAAAACAAAAAGCAGTTTACAGGAGGTAACAGGTTAAACCAGTGCAGCTATTTCAGAAGAACGACTGTGCCTGGACAACATCCACTACAAGGGGTTCATGATGTCAACCACAGTTTCTAGATGCTTCCAACATATAAGTTAATAACTATATTAAAATAGAAACATTTTATAACAGGGGTCAACAATAAAGACAAGGAATTTTCACTATTTATCAGACAGTATTTTTCTTTCCTGAGTGGGGATGTTCAATTCCTTGGTGCTATTTTAATAGAAATAGTGAAGCTTAATTAGGCTGAACATTTATTTTGTTTGAGAAAAAGCACCATATTAACATAAAAGACAATATGTATCTCTGGGCTGCAAAACTCTCACAAGGAAGTTTTCTGTAAAGGACTGTAATTAACATATAATTAGGGTTTAAATATCCAGTTAAACAACTGCAGTCAGTTGAACAAGTTCCTGTAACACAGTCTTGTCTGCTTTGTCCTTTGTGGCTGAAAATGAACTGAAATATGCAAGGATGCTTTTCAGTCTGCTCAGAGATGTGAAATTCTTTTAGCTGTTGGTGGTAACAACGACACGCACAGGCACTACTGGGAAATGCATGAACTGTATTTGTAAGTGTGCTTCTCTCACGGTAAGCTCTCTTATTCATAGTGTAATAAGAAGGCAAGACAAAATTTTGGTTTTCTTTTCTTCTTTGCAGTACAGTTTCATATATCTTTTGATATATCAAATGGAAAAAAGTAATTTTCTTTTATAATTATAGAAAAAGAGAGGTAAATGCTTCTCACTTAGTTTAACTCTTAGTAACGTAAAGAGTATTGAGTATATTGATAAAAGAAATGGGAATTCTGTGTACTACCTTTACTTAAGCACAAGGCACAAAAAAGCAGCTTTATTTTCTTTTTTTTTTCAAGCATAGCTATCATCTTTACTCTTGATACTCACTAGCTGGAAATGAAGCCCAGTACAATGTTCTACTTCCCAGAAGCATCTGAGACTATTCACCGCATACATTATCACTGATAAATCTGCCACTGACATTAAAGTCTACTGTTTACAGTGATCTGAATATTCAGTTAATGATGAAGTCAGTGTTGTAAGATTCTAACCCTTTTACTGTTTTCCTTGATCCTTTATTCTTGTTCTTCTCATTCTGAGCTTCTGTCAGGGGTTTGCGCTTATCAGTGTTAGTAAGTCCTTATTCTTCTGATAGCTTTAGGATCCACACATCTTCAGTTTTGCTTTCATGTTCTTCATTCCAGTCTGACTTGCTCTGACTCCAGAGCAGACCAAACTAACAAAAGATAATAATAAAGAACTACCTACAGATAAACTGCAATTTACATATTGCCCACAAAATATTATTAATCTGTAAATTATTTTTTTCTTTTATTCTTTTTATCTCAGATAGGCTGAGCCTACAGTAGAGCACAGCTATGATAATCTTGGATTCCTTGAAGCTAAGTTTGCAGTGAAGAACAGTTCAATGGAATGAGAGTCCTATATTGTCTTGTCTGACTGCAGTGCATTCTACAAATTACCATTTGGGGCAGTATGAAAACCTGATCACTCTGAAATTGATTTGTGAAAATAGATTACTTCATGTAAGAAGGATGTATGTTGTAATATTTCAGTTTTCACTGCTTGGTAAAGAACAGTAATTGCCTTCAATTTTTCCTCCCTTGTGCTGTCTCAGGATCAGAGCTGAAAGCACTCGGAAATCAAATTTTGTTTCTTAAATTAAATGGTCTCTCAATATGGGACATAATGTAAATAGTTACAACAGAGTGCTGGCTTATTGTTTCTGATGTGTTCAATTATTTTGGAGAGAAAATAACTTCTACACTACTCCAGATATCTGCCAGTTTTAGACATCTGTCAGTGATTAACTTTATCATTTATTAGAATAAAATGCACTGATTAGGAGTTTTAAATCAGTAAAATCCACACATTTACTAAGGGTTAATACTTAGATCTAGTCTGAAAAAAATAAGTACATTTTTAAAAGTTAATCATTAGAAAGCTAGGTAGGTAATCTTGGCTTATTTAATCATCATTAGCAAGTGTATAAAGATTTCAAGATATAATTTGTGAGGCCATTGTTTGGAATTCCTACCTTGAATCCCACGTTCCCCAGGTGGTCCTGGTAAGCCATCCTTTCCTGGGGGCCCTGGTAAGCCATCTTTTCCTGGGGGTCCTGGTTTCCCATGAGCCTGGGAGGCAAGCAATGCAGCAGGCAGCTTCAACTGGGACATAAACTGAGCCATTCTTTCTTCAATAACAAAGGACACAAGAAAAAAATGGTAAGAAATCTGTTCACAAAATACATTAAAATAAATAATTCCCAAAGCTCCAGCCAAGTAAATTTCTGGAAGTAAGATGTTTAATTCTCCTAAATGTCTATAGTTCAGGGTATTAAATGCTCCAATAAGTACCAGGATCTTAGTTCCAACTGACTTCATATTGGACTCCTCACCCTTTGCAATAATCTCAATGAATTTGCACAAAATTTGTACTGTATTCTGTTGATGTAGTTCAGTATCTTAAAGGACTTCTAACTTCTGTTTGTGAAAGTACTTAAAACACATGAAGACAGAATAATTTAACATCCCTATGACAGGGTATATCTTTATAACTCATATTAAACCCCAAAGTAAAACTCAAATAATGCGAACAGTTCTTGGAATGTGCTTAAACCCTAAAAATAGTTGTAAAAACAAATAAACAAAACAACAACAACAAAAGAAAACAACTCAGCAAACATTACTGCAGAGATTTCAGCATAAACAGCATGAACTGTTCATACTCATGGAACAAAGCATACTTGCTAGCATTTTAGTGCTCCTTAGATGTAGACCTTCATAGTTAACCTGGAAACTTAACTAAGCATTCCACACCTGATCTGGCATTTACTCTGGTGGAATTTTAAGATTTAAGATAAGAATTTCAGTGAAAAAGAGTGTGGGTATCAAACGGAAAAACAAAGTAAAATGACAGAAAACAGAAAAAAATGAAACAAAGCCAAAACCAGAAGATTTCTGGCAGCAGCTGGTGAACTGTACAGAAGATGTACCAATGTGTAGCTGGAGTGACACATGCTTATCTTTGATAGCAAACTATCTTTTAATGCTAATCTTTTACATAAGGAAGCACTGTGTAACATATTTCAACTTATAATTGTTTGAACATAACTGTACTAAATAGACAAAAAGCAGCTAAGCATACCTATAGCAACTCAGCAAGTACTATGTACCATGTAAGTTAGATGATGTAAAGAAATGTATATAAAAGTTAGTGGAAAGTAAACACATTTAGAACAGAATTTAACATTAGCATCTAGCTACATAAGACCTCTTTGTCTTACCTTCAAAAACCTTAAGAACCTCTTGTTTGATATATTTTTTTAGTTCTTCAAGTGAGACTGTATCAGTCTGATGAGGAAACAAAAAGGCAATATATATTGGAAGATACAAGCAGAGAACACTTTATGATGCTACAAAAATAATCATTAAAAAAAAAAAAAAAAAAGCTGAAATCAGCCCTGAACTGATTTTTATTAATTATTAAATTAAATATTAAGCTAAAATTAAACATGCTAAAATTTATTTTACTCACTTAGGTACAAAGTTGACTTTACTTCAAATAAATTACAATATTATAAAGGCACTCACCTATCTGGATGACCAGCAGGTATATGTTATGAAAGTAATTTACGTAGAATATAAGGAAGCTCAGTGACGTTTCTTTACTTCAGTAGCCTTTTGTATAACATTTGCCAACTTTTCACCCCCACTGGGACTACTTTCATGCAAAGCCAGTGAAATAAAACTGCATCACAGGACCAGTAATTTAGTTAGAAAAGATTTTTAGACCTTTATTCCATCTGATTCAGGGCCTCTTACCAATTGAAATGAATTCACGACATCTGTGCATACAAATGCTTACATGGAGACAAACCAAAGTTTATACAACTGACAGCAAGCACTTCATTGTCTTTACAAATGTCTGTTTCTCTGTCACTGAGAATCACGTTTGCCTGCCTATTTTTCTTTGGCATTTGCAAATATTAGTCATCTCAATGATATCTTAGTTTTTATGACAATGTAGCATTGCTTGATTGAATTCCCACTGCTCAACACTTGCTACCTTCATCTGTTCTGACTTCACAAGCAACTAACAAAATCTTTTTATTTTCTTACCAAGAAACCCGGGGGGCCTGGTGAACCTGGAGGACCTTGATGACCTGGTGATCCTGGATGGCCTCTGTCTCCTGGTGGCCCAATAGGCCCCATGGCCCCCTTTTCTCCTGATGGGCCAGGCTTCCCTCTTTCACCTTGTGGACCTTTGTCTCCTGGAATACCCTGATCTCCCTGAGTAAAATAAAAGCATAAAGAAAACCACTGCACACACTGGAATTAACTGGGAAGAACTACCAAGAATCCTAGAGTAACATTTTTCTTCTTCAGAAATTGATTTTTATTAGACAATTAAATTATGCAGTGAAACTGATTTACAGGCTGATCCTTGTCTCTGAAAACACAGCAAGAAACGTTTTGTTTTCTTGCACTTTTAACATTGAAGCCAATGACAAAATGTAGCTAGACCCTGTAACCCAGTTTTCTAGTAGAGAATTTTGGTGGGAACATTTATAGACCTCGTATATCTAGAGATGTCAAATATGGTATAGGCAGAATTTGGGTGCTCAAATTCTCCCAGGCATGGGAGAATTTTTATTTTTTTTCCTTCAAATTTCCCTAGATGCATAATATTTTATTTTTGCCTGTATTCAAACCTGTTAATCAAAGAAACAACAGATATACACACGCACTTCAAATGAGTAACTTCTCTGCAAAATAAATATACTAAATGGTTGATGCTCTGGCTAGCTTCTATCATAGGCTGAGACGTAATTTAAATTTGTTTTATTTGCAATGAATTAAATCTTTTAGAAGGGCTTAATATATTAGCTGTTAGTTCACTGAGCTATATCTGCGGAACAGAGTGCAGCAAGTGATGCATTCAGATTGTTAACAAACAGCTGACATCTCTTATGGGTCACCGGTTGTCCTTGCTGCATCACTTAAGCTAATGTCAAGTTCCACCATAAGGAGCAAACAACACTAGGAACTGCCTGCATTATTACAAGATAAATCTAGAATCCACATCTATGAGGAGTAAATAAATGGAATGAATTGGATTTTCAATCTGCAGCAAGTACTGGCAAACTTTATTCAAATCTGAAACATCACTGACTGATAAAATGATAAAAGTGTAGTAACAGTCACAAGTTGTATTTACATGACTAAGACTGAAAAGAAAAAAAAAAAAAAAGATGGAGAGAAAGGTAAGGATGAAAGCAGGAGGTTATCTATCATTTTTATCACCCATCTGTCCTCCAAATCTGTACTATTTTTAGTGAATCAAAGCTTATTAACGGCTATAACTAAGCTTTGCTACAAAGACCACTGTCACTTGAGTTGCTTTATTCCATTAACTGAAATCATAACATTCCCTGCTGCCTCTTGTAACAAGCTTGTTTAATGTAACACATGGCCACGTGTTTGTGACATGCAAAGATCCCAGGGATGAAATGAGGAAAGCTTTATAACTTTCAAAATTTGACTGCATCACACACAAGGGGATTATCTACTTTCTAACTTCCATCAACAATTTACACTGCCCAGGTCATCTGCATTAGAAGGTCTGTAAAGGTGTCTTTCTCTAGATGCAGAAAGCAATTCAGTTTCACACACAAAGTAGTCCATGGGATGCTTATTGTCACCTATAGTTCACAGAAAATTAATATGTTGGTTGTGACTATAACATATGTGCTAATGGGGTGTTTAGATACTCAGATAAAAGGAAAGAAGTTATTAAAACAAGGGACTTACACGTTCTCCTTTGGGCCCTCGGTCTCCTGGTCTCCCCACAGCACCCTGAAAAATTGTTTTTGAAAGAGGATAAAGATATTGCTTAAAGGCTTTGTTGTGTGTTCATCTATCAGCTGAACTGAAAACAACAAGTAGGATTAAGAGCTGCATTATTTGTGAACAATGAAATATATTAAAATGCAAAAGCATGGTTTCCTACCGGAGGACCTGGCAGTCCATCTTTTCCATTGATTCCCTATTAAAAAAAATAATAATCATATTTTAATAATTATTCGTATGTATTTCGAAAACAAGGCGTAAAGCTCGCTGTTTAGAGATGGTATCAGTACACATTCTAAAGCTGCAGTCAGAAGTTTGCATGGTGACAGTGTTGAAACACTCACAAACAGTCTTCAGGAATGTGCTACAAAAAAGCTTGGGGCCATGCTGAACTGCAAGCAGATTACATTTGAACTGAGAGAGCAGTGCAAAAAATATTTTCAGTGACAAGATCCATATCAATTATAATGAACATGCAACTTTGAATGACCAGCTACAGCGAAATTCTGCAAACATGTGGAACATGGAGCCGTACAGATACTCTACAAGTCCTAGTTCATTATACAATGACAGAAGAGATTCATCTTACGGTAGACATTAGCCCTAAATGCCCTATAAGCCCTTGCTGTTACAGAGATTAGACCTCAGTAATAAGTGTCCAGATCTATTCATTGGTCATTAGGACTTGTGACATGCCACAGCTCCCACCTGCTGGTCAAAACATTTTTTCCTGCCCAAAAGAGGGCAGTCTTATTCAGAATGCACACTGAAAGCAGTCTCGGGCTCCCCATTTTTCCCCACATTGTCTCAGAATGTGCTGGGTGGCATGGGCCAAATAATGTCACAGAGTAATTTAACAATTGCTCAACACCAGGTAAGTGCAAGATAGAATCACAGAATCACAGAATCACGGAATGGGTTGGAACTCAAGGATCATGAATCTCCAACCCCCCTGCCACATGCAGGGCCACCAACCTCCATATTTAATACTAGACCAGGCTGGCCAGGGCCCCATCCAATCTGGCCTTGAACACTTCCAGGGACAGGGCATCCGAGATAAATGCTCTGACACTATTTATTTTGATGGGATATACAAGGCCAGAACCTGCATACACAGAAAACCTAGAGCTATTTTGCATGAATAAAAAAGAAGACTTGGATAAGCAAAGGAATCAGCAACATTTCCTTCCCTTTCATACTGCAAAGCATGGTTTTGAATGATTAAGGTCACTGTGAACCTGCATCCCTTGCTGGTCTGTCCACGACCCCATCTTGTTCCTGCCTCAGCTCAGTCACTTTCTCTTGCAGAGCAGCTCACTGTCGTAGCATCCTGACAGAGCTCATGAAAGCAGGCACTTTACAATTTTATGTAAAAGTGATACAGATTTTCAAGCTGTTCCTTAAATTGGGCCAGTTTGCTGCAGAAATTACAGAAATAGTCTCTTTCAAGACAGAAGAATAGTGTGGAGATGTGGTAATAATCCAAAATGGTGCACTTCTCGTGCTTGTCACTACAACACCGTGCTCAGAGGGAGATAGTTCTGAGCTATCCTAGCTGAACTACTTCTGGAATATGAACTAGACTGTTTTAAACTAGCTCAGACAGTGCTACAATACACTGCTGACTACAGCGCATTTTAAATAAAGAGGTCAGATCAAACATACCCTCAGAGAATAGTACATGCTTCAGACATGATGTTGCATTACCAATAGAAGAACAATAATGCGTATACAGAGTCATGAAGCCAACAGTTCTCCACATAATTGAAACCATGAATGCATTTTGTTGTCTAATACTCAACAGAGTGTGCTGAGCTCTTGGGTTAATACTCTCATTCTGAAAAACTGCTAAAGAAACATTCAAATCAACAGGATCCAAGTGACATTCAAAATGATCTCAGTTACCTCCAAAGGATCTCAGTAACATCGGGTATTAAAACATAAAACATTTGATGGTTGGACTGGATGATCTTATAGGTCTTTTCCAACCTTTGTGATTCTGTGATTCTGTGATAAACACATCACACTCTATATGAAAAGAATTCTTGACTAGATGGTTATATTGAGCGCTGTAACTCTAGAATGTTCTTCAGAAGTGATCAAGCCCAATACAAAACAGGATGTAACTCTAATTTCTTTTGAAACTTGTCATAAACTAAAATGCATGTTTTCTTAATGAATGTAGATAAAATTGCTTACTGGTTTTCCCTGTGGTCCTTCTGGCCCAGGGAAGCCTGTATCTCCTATGGGTCCTCTTTCACCCTAAGTAAAAAGAAAACACAAATGAACCTGCATGTAAAATCTTGCATTCAACATTCAATATATTTTTGTATTAGCATGGTAGTCTAGAACTCAAATCTGTACTTACAGGTTCTCCTGGCAACCCTGGGGACCCTGGAGATCCTGGCTTTCCCTGCAAGAAGAGAATATTAGAAATTCAAGTTATTATGAAGTAAAACATCAATTTATCTTAAAAACTAAGACAGGATATACATTTGAGTGAAATGCTCATGTTACAGTTCAATCAATGATTTAAAAGAGAAAGAATAAATCTTTAAAAATAGAACCTCTTAGCATAAAATGGTAAAGCAAATAATTTCTTTTCAATGGATCTTACTAGAGTTAAATGTAAGCAACAGAATGCAACTTCATCAGTGATGAAAGGAAGTCAATAACTATTTCATATCCAACTAGAATAGAAAGCAACAACAGTAAGATCTGAAACATATCCAGTGGGAAATACACAGGGAATGAACAATTATGATGAGCTTAACTAGCTAATGCATTATTGATTCACAGTGTATATATAATACATTACAGAGCAACAAACTCTGAAGCTCTTACACAGGCTATAAAACTCAGAGAAATGCTTATCTTCTTCCTTTAAAAGTGAGTTTTTACCTTGTTTTAGGAAAACTTAACTACATTAAGCTACTTAAGCTAATGTTCTCTCTTAGAAATTACAGTAAATACACTAAATTAGGTGCTAATGGAAATGGGAGTGCACAGATACAGACTTTTCTTTATTTCATGAAACACATTTATAATTTAAAAACAGCTCTTGAATGGATTGGTAGCTGTCCAAATTTAATAATGAATGTATTTGAATATAAATAGCTTCATAGTGTCTCCTGAAATACAAATATATATACATTTATTAAACTGTGAATGCAATCTAAAGAAAATTTGTCTTTATTCCCTTTAGGAACACAAATGAACAATTATAATTTCAATTTATCATTAGTTACATTTACTTTCACCTACAACAAAGCTTCAGAATGACTTTCAGAAACTCCTTGAATAAAACATGTAAATAACTATCAAAGTATGTCCCTTAAAGCAAATGTTTGATTGATTTGAAATGCAGATTGTTGTGGATTGCATTAACTAATATTCATATTTTTTCTTTGTGAAAGAAAGATGCCTGGAAATTTATGTATGCCCAGGAACACAGAAAATGACTTTATAATTAATCTCTATAAAGCTGAGGCAATGAGAAGAATCTTTCTTAAATGAGAATATGCAACTTCAAATTCAAGCTTTATCATGTATTCACTCCATTTCCGAGCCCTCAGAAGTCTTAAAATTCTAATTCTTTTAGGAAAAATATGTCATTTTCATATCTGCCCATATGTCACTTGTTAAGAGCTCCCAGAAACAATGAGTAAGATTACAGCTAAGCACCTTGCTTGACTTTTTTTCAGGTTCTTGTAACAAAATGAGATTTCTTTAATGAATATACGTACTGGTATCCCTGCTACTCCTGGTGTGCCAGCTGGTCCACGGTCACCCTGAAGAAAAGATAAATCATTATTTAAATGGTAACACTGAAAACAGGAGTTCATTCATGGATCCTGATTAAAACCTTAGGAAGAATTATGCAGTGAGCTGAAATTGAGGACAAGAGCTAGGCTCTGCTAAACGCTAGCATTTAGCTCTGACACTGACTCATTTTACAGACTTGAGCAAATAACAGAAGTCCTTTGTTTAAGTTCTTTTGTCATAATTAACACCTTATCCTTTACATTCTGTTTGAGGCCTTCCTTGAAAAGGGATGATTTATCTGAGGGTTTTTAAGTAATAATCATTTGTGATCTTGACAATGACCAAAATTAACACATTTCAATTCACTATCCTGTCAAGACACCCCTATTTAAGATTTACCTTTTAAAGACACTTCTGCCTTCCTGCTATGCTCTCAGCCATTTCATGCAACTCAGTATCCTTGATTTGCTTGTGCTGTGGTCTTTTTAGCACAAAGTTTCCTTTATCACAGAGATACCTTCATCAATAATTTAAGCTAAGATAATGGATTTTGTGCTGGAGTTGATGAGGTGTGAGTGCAAATTCATCTTTATCTTCTGTGAAGACTATAACTCAAAGCAGATGGAGGGAGCTGAAACTACAGCAAGATTTACCCTATCCCATTGCTGACATGCATCAATCTGTAAAAATGCACTCTGCTAGCATAATGTTGGTTAAAAATGTAAGAAGATCAGACTCCAGGTTTCTATAATCATGTCAGGAAAGCCCTGAGACAGCTGAAGCCACACAAACAGGAGAATATTTTTTGAGCTGAATTTACATTACCCAGAGCTGTTTTGCAAAAGCTCTGCCAGCATAGCTATAGTCACATTGTTTTGTGTAGAAAAGCTTGAGGAGATGTTTTGTGTCATTCTCATCATTTTGTTCAGGTGATAAAACAATAACACTTGTAATTGGAAACACTTAACTACATTATAAAGAGCATAGAGAGAAGACAAGTTAATGCCTATAAACAGTTTTGAGAGCCTCACATCAGAGCTACAGTATAGGGAAAAATATCAATTCTAGGTAATCAGAGTTTTCTAAACCAATTATGCAGCACTAGACTAAGAAATGCAGTGCAGGACTGTTCAAGACAGATGAATACAAATTCTGTTTTGCTTTTACGTTTAGGGTTTTCAGACCCCATGACAACAGCAAGGAACATATTTAAAATCTTGCCGCTCATCACATTTGTGACAGAACAACTGCAGTACTAAAAACTTGACACTGCCCACATAACACCTACCTCTGAACCAAATAAATTGAACCTGGCTGAGGAGCTAGAGGCTGGAAGCCAGTTTCTCTGCATTGGCAACTGGGAGTAACCTCTACAAATTAGGAGTATTTGCTTACTAGCCCACAGGGGTTAGTTAATGAAAAGTGCATGGCCTTGCAGGGTACATTCACTCTGACACACTGCCCATGTAATAAAGCAGATCAGAGCAGTATCACCAAATGAAACCAAACCAAAACAGACGAGACCTCGGGTCCAGAGGGAGAAGCTTGCTCACAGTTCAACCTCACTTGCTCAGGAGACAAAGAGAAGTCACATAAAACAAGTTTCCCTCTCAGTGAAAAATTTATGAGCACCTTTAGAGCAATCAAGTACTTCTGGTACTTAGCAAGGCTCATTGGCTTCAGCAGTGCCTCCATGCTGCATGGTGATTCTGTACCCAGAATTTATATACACAGTGGGGTTCATTAGATGCTGGCAGTGTGTGAGAGTTAAGATAGAAATCCTCAGCACTTCCCTTGAAATTTTTTCCCCTTGCCCTGACTGCATTTACAATGTGATGCACAGCACAGCTGCAAAATCACTGTGTCAGCATAGCTGAGGAAAGGCTAATTTTATCCTGAGGACACAAATGTTTTCAGCCAGTTCATGACATTATCACAAAACTACAGCCAGCACTGTCTATGCAATAAGGCGTTCTGCTGCACTGATGCATCTTGTAGCTCTAAATTAAAAGCCAGCATGCACTGTACTGTTGGGAATGCCAGGCAGACTCAGATTCTGTTAATTTATTTGCACCAGAAGTGTGGAATTCAGACTAAATTTAGTTAAAGAAAGGGTATTTTGGCTTTGGGAAATGGCCAAGCATTCACTTAGCTTGTTTATACAATCTGTTCTGTTACATTTTCCCTTTATTTAATTCTTGTCCCCATTTTGTCTCTGTTAGGACTGCAATACCTCCCTGTGTTTGTTCATGCTAAAATTAGGTTGTCCTTAATTGCTTGTAAATTGTAGTCTTCCAGAGCAAGAATTATCTAATTTAAACACCTAGTGTAGTCACCTACCTTGCTTTGTTATCCTATAATCTCTGCAAAAGTAGTAGTAATACACAGTAATAGTATGGATAAACTTTTGATTTATATGGCTTTGTGATGGAAAATGTCACAGTAAACTATTTATTATATTAAGTGATTGAATAGCATGCAATTCCCAAAAACTGAGTAAGTGTCTGAACTGCAAAAAGACTATTATTTCTTCTTACACTTAAAAGATACAGGCAAAATTGAAACAAAGTGTCTCCACTGACAGAAAACATATTTTCAGGGCTTCTTTATTTCTCTGGTGGAGTTTTTATGCTTAGCCATACGGAAATAAATACAAAAAGCTTAAATTTTTGAGCATTTCATAATAACCTTTACGCTAAGTTTGTATCAGCCTCCATAACTGATACCTGAAAGGCTGAAACATCACCAGCTCAAGGAAAAAGTAATTTCCTAGGACCAGAATGCACACTTGAACAAGAGAAAGGCTCTTGAGATTGTGACACAGTTCAGGATGAGCTATGATGGCTTCATACAGGCAGTGCAATAAGAAAAGTAAGATAGAAAGAAGGGACTTTTTTAGACTAATGAGCAATAGTCTTGAGAAATCAGTTTTGCCTTTGGCTTCATAAGGCCTTCACATCAAATGTACGGAATAGGGAATCAGTCTCTTCTTCTATTTCTAGCATTTCCTCGATCTTTATACACAGCTGAATTTTTTTTTTTTAAAGGGAAGTTTTTCACATACTTGGTTTAGACTAATTCAGGTACAAATTTCGATTCAGACCTATAGCTATGCCTGAAGTGTTAAAACAAACAGACAGACTCTAAGCATATGATGATGCTCAGGAAAGAACAAGAATTAGAGACATACTACAAGGCTTTCTACACACATTTCCATTTGTGGAAAATGGAATTTTATATTGGGTGAGTAAATGATCTAGATGTACATTTAAGAAAAAAAAAGGAATATGGATAAATATTTTCACACAGAAACATTAATTTTCATAAAAAAATCAAATAAGGTTTCAGAAATCAGTTAGCTGCAGACAAACCCATTAAAAAGCCAAAACTTTTTCTTTAATAGTCTTACCTTTTCCCCTGGGAGTCCTTCTAGACCTGGTAATCCCATTGGTCCTGGGTCACCCTGATTTTTTTTTTTAAATTAAAATGGTTTGCATATATTAGAAACTCTGAACTGTTCAAGAGAAATGTGGAAGAGTAAGCAAAAGCAGAATATTTAACTTGAGATTACCAAAATAGCTAACAGTTATTAGGTGAACAGATTTTGCTTTACTGTTTTAATTTTGACTAAGAATGTAATCTGAAAGACTCTCCTCCTATGTTTTTTCAAGCCTATGTCAGCTCTAAGTCACCACTTTCCAGCAGCAGAGGCATATGTTGTGAGCATATTCTATCCACCACAGAACTAACATCCAAGCAGTTCTGTTCAACCTCCAACTTACTGTATCAGAACAGAGCTCTATTCCTTGCACAAACCTTTCTCTGCAACAAGGGGCACACAGGCGAAGTCTCTGTGCAAGTCTTCAGGCTTTGAATGAAAACCAGAAAACTTCTGCACTGAGAAATCAGTTTAACTGGGAAGGTTCTATTACTCTTTTTTCCTTTTTTTTTAAGACAATCAACAGATAATTTATCACAGAAATCTGAACTACTGTTAATAATTCCAGTATTTCAGCTATCTCAGTTAAATCAGTAACCACAGCAAAATCCTTCTGCAGATGTTATGAATTCTTTAACAGATTTCACTTTCCAAAGCCTGTATGGGAGAAAGTACTTCTTGAGTAGGAAGTGGTTGCTGGTATAGAAAGACATATTCAGCTTGTAGGCATTAAAAGCAACTGTAAGCCCTCTGTAGGCTGGCTGAGTGGAGATTATGTGTCTTCATGGTAGATTAAGTCTTAGCTAAATCTTCAAAATCTTAACTGCCCTCTTTGGGCTTGACTGAGTTAATATGAGTTAGCTGTGATTAACACTGCAGCTATTTTTGTGAGTGAAGCCAGGTACTCTTAGAGGTCAGCAGTTAACTCTCTTTGTGTATTTTACTCAGGAGTGACAACTTGAAGGCAGGACAACAGCTGGAGAGGTAAAGAGTCAGCTTCTTAGCGGCTGAATGAACTCCTGAAAGCCCTAAGGAACTGTAGATGTTTTTCTTGAAGACGTCACTTGTTTCATTAACAGCAGACATAGCTGTTTTCTCACTTTGTCTGGTGAAAGGGATGTGATTTTTCTTAAAAAAAAAAAGATCTCTCCAGTACTTCTCAGTGTTTCCTGATCTTCATCAATAAATCAGGCGGAATCATACTTAGAGAATCTATTATGACTAAAAAGTACTTACCACTGTGCCAGGATCTCCTTTTGGACCCTGCAAAGCAAATAGGAAACAGACATACATTTAGAGAACTACACAGTGACATGGTATTTTTTTCTATATTAATACATTACAAATATAAATTGGCAATGCAGTGCATTTACAATCAGTATTTAGTCCAGTCCTCACAGCTGATTAATTCTGCCTTAAAACAGCAGAATTTGGTTATGACACTAGTAAGAAAGAGGAGTTAAATAAGATCTTGGGCTTCAAAGAACCAAAGCAAGCTGGGATATCTGCACAGGGCAGCATACTGCCTGGAAGGACACAATCTCTGTACTGCTGCCACATTCACATATCGTTCTACACTGTAGCTATAGGCAAGGAATTAGTGACAGAATTGAGAATTAATGAGTTTCTAATTTCCAACACATAAATTCATTCCATAGCAAGATCAGCACTAACTATAAGGAGAATATTGTGCAGTTTAAGACATTAAGATTCTTTCAGTCAAGCCGAATACCAAGTTACAAATTTCGATTCAGACCTATAGCTATGCCTTATTACATCATTTCCTAGATGAGTTATAATTTCTACCTCTCATATATAAAATCCAGTTCCATGGTACTCATCAAAACTACTTGCAGTTAAGTGTCTGTTACCCCTCTGTTACTATTTTAATTAAGTACTAGAAATTAAGTTACTGCTAAATACTTACTGGAGGTCCTGGTGGACCCGGATAACTTGTGACACTTGCACCTCCCTGTAACAGCAAATTTAAAAGTTGAGTTGGACCAAAATTAGGTGTTGATTGAAAAGCTATGTATATAAGAAAGAAATACCAGAAATACCTGGAGTTTATATAAGCTGCTCATTCCATTTCTTTCATTGTAAGGCACACCCTTTAAAACATAAAAAGCAAGTAAGCACCACAACTAGGAACCACAGAGACAGAACCTGTTTTAAGTTCCGTGCATCAGCAAAACCATGGTTTCTAGATAAATTTTTCCACATTTCTGGACATTTCAGTAAGAACATAGGATACACAAGTATGTAAGCTTGCTACTTTATTTTTGTTTTGTTACAAAACCAGGTACTGTAAATTCCCAGTGTACATTACATTTCAACATTCTTACATAATAGCTGGTCAACAGATAGAAACAATGACAGCACTGTTTTCATGTCCATTTGAAAATCTGTGTTAAACCAAAAAACAGAAAACATCTAATTGTATGCTTCAAGTGTTTTGAGAACAGAAAGGCTTGAATGGTAAATCTAGGTTAATGCTCTAGTTAAATGGACAAGACTGTAAAGAACTAAGAAGAGTGATTCAGTGGCTGAACTACCAACTTACATTTGGCCCCATGATTTTTAGTGCACAAAAAGCTCAAACTATACAAGTGTGTTCAACTTATTATTGAGTGGAATTCTTTTTCTAAAAAGATATCCAGATGTCTTCTCAAATTCAAGTCAGTTAATAATTAAAGAGGACTTAGTAAATATGAGTGCTAGCCATTCTTCCTGTATGAATGTTTACAAATCATGTGTGTAAAAATGAAAACATGAAAACAAAACGGAAAGGGCAGACATTTAAACTCAAAATAAAGTCCTAAAACATGTTTCCAGCATAAATTAACTTGGCCAATGCTCTGAAAACTTTACATATTTCAAGACTTTCAAGACTTCAAGATGAGAAATTCTCATATATAATTAATGAATTAATACAGTATGCTTTACTTTAGTTTTGCTCTCAAACTTCTTTTACGTACAAAAACTGGCAGATACAGAAAATTTGTGCTGCAACAGAAAGTCACAGATCTAGCTGGTTATTCTTGCATTACTAGCTACAGCTTTTATCCTGGTATCCTGCTATCCTTATACCAATTTTCCGAGTACGTCCTGAGTTCTAAACCATTATTTGCTCTAGAGAATTTTCATGAGATACAGATTGAATTTAGAGAAGCAAGGACTGAAAAATGTATAGTCCTCTAAGCTAGAGTCAGCTCTAGGGTTAAATTTGGGGCAGAAGTGAATGATTTTTTTTTCTACAGCAGGCTAGAATTAGGCTGCAGTCGAGGCAGGAGTATGTAAGAATCATTAGAGTATAGCTAGATTCTAGAACCAAAGCATTCTGTGAATTATGGTAAGGAATGACATTTCTAAGGCTGTATTTAGAATTAGGGATTGTAAGGTCATCCAGTTATTTATTCTTCAAAATTATTTTGTGTTAGGTACTGTTCCAGTTAATCTACAGTTTAAAGCCTTCAATGGACTTCCCTGGGTTCCTGATCTCAGGTATCCAAAGTGAATAAATTAACCTCAGTGTTCAATGTTTTTAGAATAATTCATTTGACCAAATTTCTAAGATGGCACTGGTGACTTGGATTTAATGATGAACCACAAGAAAAAAAAGGAATACTGAACTATTCTGCAATAAGACTGCTGTCTTCCTGCACCACTAATATGTCTTAGAGAGACAGTCTATTTCTTGATATCATAGAATCATAGAATGGCCTGGGTTGAAAAGGACCACAATGATCATCTAGTTTCAACCCCCCTGCTACGTGAAGGGTCGCCAACGACTAGACCAGCTGCCCAGAGCCACATCCAGCCTGGCCTTGAATGCCTCCAGGGATGGGGTATCCACAACCTCCTTGTTCCAGTGCATCACCACCCTCTGAGTGAAAAACTTCCTCCTAATATCTAACCTAAACCTCCCCTGTCTCAGTTTAAAACCATTCCCCCTTGTCCTATCACTATCCACCCTCATAAACAGCCGTTCCCCCTCCTGCTTACATGCTCCATTCAAGTACTGGAAGGCTGCAATGAGGTCTCCCTGGAGCCTTCTCTTTTCCAATCTAAACAAGCCCAGTTCCCTCAACCCTTCCCCACAGGAGAGGTGATCCAGCCCTCTGATCATCTTAGTGGCCCTCCTCTGGACCTACTTCAAGAGTTCCACATTCTTCCTGTGCATTTCATTTTACTTATATCATTCCTAACATATCATGAAAATGTAAGCCAAAGTCTCTTACCGGAGGTCCAGGTGGTCCAGGCTTCCCTGGAGAGCCTTCACTACCCTAGCATAGTGAGAGATGCACAGATCATTTAATATAACTGTTGTTCAGATCTATTCCATTCCCAAACTGTGATGGTCATCATGACAATAAACAAGAGATACAGTCAGTAGGACTAGGTAATATCAAGAATGAATCATCCTGCTTAAACTTTAGGCAAAATAATAATCATTACTTTATTCTAGCTCTTGTTTTGTTAGTTATTGATGCTTTACGCGTAGTAACTTCCTCATGGCAAAATAGTAGTGGCAATAGGGTAGTGAAATACTTCATATAAATTCGTATAAATTTCTAAGCAATCAATAGATAGAAGTTGTAATTCATTTTATGCTTTGAATATTGTTTTGCTAAAGACAATCCTCAGTTTGATCATCCACAGGAAAATAAAGAAGAACCCGTCTATTCAGAAACATGCTGGGTAAGGAAAAGATTTTTATTAAGGGTTATAATGAATACCTTCTTGACTTTTACTTCAAAACACTTATCTGTAGCTGTAGTCTGTTTTGCTGAGATGCACTGAACTGCTTATATCAGGAAAAAAAGTTTCTTAGTTTTTGTCCCAGCAGAATAGTGGGTGCTCTGAGCAATACAGATGTTTTAATGTCAAACTTTGCAAGCAAGATCTTTTCAAAATTTCATCACTAAGATTCAGTTAATAATTCTGTATAATTCAGAATAGGTCTATCCAAGTTTTTCGCTCACTTCATTGGATTTTAATAACATACTTCATTGAGACACTTAGGCTGCAAATTTAAAATTATTAAGGTGGAAAAAGTCAAGCTGAGCATATGACAGTAATGATTAACTCACCATACATATATACAATTTTAATTACAATCATATTAAAATAATTTCCAAATAATCTTGTGATTGAAATGTCAAGCTACAAATTGAAGGATTTATAGTATTTCATTAAGAGAGAAAATACTCTATTTTAGAACTTTTCAAATGTGGTCCTCAGATAAAGGAAGGAGAATGTACATTATCTGGCTATGGTTCAGTTCATCACTCTTAAATGATCTGACTTCTGGCCTTTTCAGTCAATGGCACACTAGTTATGGAGAACTGACTTTCTCATTCTCAAATGCAATAATAAGAGGCTGCCTTCCCCTGATCTTTATGATATAATGAAAGAAACAGCTATGATTAGGTCTCAGCCAAAGATAGAGATGTACATACTTCAAGCAGCTGGTCAAACACTGCATTTCGAGAGACTTTATTCGGTACTTTGAAATTGTAAGCATGGAAAGAACAAAACCTTGCGTTTTTTCTGCAGTGTGTTACTTAAAAAGGAAATACCTTCGGTAAATTATTTCTATCGTGGCCAGGAAGGAGACAGTTCTCAACTCACTTTTATGCTGAGGACATTTCATAGCTTTCCGAAGTACAATTTCCTTTTCTTATTCATACCACATTCAAAGTTTTATGGAGTATTAGTATAATCACAGTCTATGCACTATGACTGGAAAAGCCCGAGCCATAGCTAAGAAAAAAAAAATTAAGAAATGTATCCATGTAAAAAATGTAGAAATTGTCTCAAAATATATTTTGATAAATCAGTTTGTCTGCTGATTTCACTGATCTGCAGTGCCCAAGAAATTAATTTGACCTTTTAGTTATAATGGAAGCACTTGATAAAGGAATATATATAAAATTGATAAAAAAGCAGTGCTGTGACAGTGTAAATTAATAATAAAAGAAGCTTTAATACTTTTGCAGAATATTTGTACTCTTCCAGCTTTTGAAGAACATTAAAGTATGCCTTTAAGTTTGACTAGTACACTGGAAAAAGAATAAGAAGCAGAGCAAGTAGTAATTCATAATATACTACTTAACAATGTTTTTTTCCAATTTCTTAATTTTATATAACATATTACAGTTAGAAAAAATTCCCTGAAACTCATATATGCCACAAGGTTTATTCTTCAAAATAGAAGCCTGTATGTTTGCAGAAAGTATTTGTAATCCAAGACAAAAAATAAAAATTCATTTGAAAATGTATGTCAAACTCATGTCTGCATTGTGTTAAAAAATATCAAAAACACAACAACAAACCAAACAAAAAAACCCCACAAACCCAAAGCATAGTAAAAGGATCACAAAACCTACACAGATCTTTATCAAAACTAAAAAGAAGGAATACCTTTTCACCTTTTGACCCAGCAGGACCAGGATGCCCAGGTCTTCCCATGACTCCCTGCAAAATACAGTATGAGCTTAGTTAAGAAACATCCCAAAACTGCAATTTGCACTGTAGCTTAGTTTTTAAAACTTGTACTTTCTGAAGGTCATTTAAAACTAATTACACTTTTCCTCCAGGTTTCAGTATTTCTCTTCTCTGTCTGATGCAAAAGGCTGTGTTCTACTGATAAGCTCTGTGAAGGGTAAAACTTGTGTTTGTGGTTGTATTTTCACCTTGTACAGACTAAATGCTCTGCCCCTAACTGGTAACTCTTGATACTGTGAAGGATCATGTTTTTTTTTGCTAAAATGTTAATTTATGTATTCCACATTAAGCTTCCAAAATGTGTTGCAATTAGGGAAGTGTTAGTACTGTCAACAACCCAGGATTAAGCAATGATCACACTATCTAACAGTCTCATTGTGCATGTAGAAAATTAAAAAAAAAAAAAAATCCCAAGAGAAGTTCTCCCCAGAATACCAGTACCAGGGTTAGTTTTTCAGTGACTTTAAATTGTAAGTTAGTGTATTCTCAGACTTTATAATTATTTGGTTTCTGCATTTAATGTTTTGAGAATGCCCGGTTAGAGATTTTTTTAGATTCTTATTAATAACATTATTATAGTAACTAGGATATAAATACTTAATTAACTGCTAGTTTGTCCATCATGCCTTTCAATTTCATGAAGTCTCTAGTAAGGTCAAAACACTAAAAGCATTGGAGTTACATAAACTTTGAATCCAGACAGTGATAGTATTTTCAGAGACATCAACTCATGACATAATTTATTTTAATACAGCCACTGCGGATAAGATTTTATTGTCACTCTACTAAAAGCTAAAAGGAGGTGCAAGAAGCTAAGAATAAGAAGTTTTGATATGTAATTATAGCAACCTTAGAGAGAAATTAGACAACAAATGATGCCACATGCTTACAGATGGTCCACTGGGTCCTGGTACACCAGGCAGTCCAGGAACACCTTGAAGGCCCTGAAAATTAAAGGTGTATATGTCAATTTCCTCTCCCATGTTATAGCCTCAAAAAGTTACTTATATTTAGCACGTCCATCACTATTATAACAATACTGAAGCACATTTTCATCTAGCAGAATATCATTATTTTTTGGAATAAAAACAATATATGCATACATGAGGATTTCAGGCAAGTCTGTGCATTGCAGAACGCTTTCATCTGATTCACTAGGCTTAGTCAGATGAAATTTTAGCTATATGACAGTCATGTATATATATCTAAGCTAATTGCTCTTGGTTCCCCTTATAATCCATTAAGAGAAGCTCCACCCAACAGTAAATAATGGAAAATACTGCATGTATTTTAAATTCAGACTCCAAATATTTTCTAATTTCCACTTAATAGTAATTGCTGAAATTATTATTCCCATCAAACCATTTGCCTTACAGAATATATCTCAAAGTGAATGCTAACTAGGAAGTAACACAATCAAAGCAAATACCTTATAAAATTAAATATTTTGTGAAAATATTTGGCATTTACCTTTTTATTGCTTTATCTCATACTCTTAAAAATTAGCATTTAGATTTATGCAAGGCATTAAAATATACAAATGAGCATAAACCTTCACACAACTATGAAATAGATTTTACTTATTTTAATAATAGTGCTTAATCTTGTTGAAAACTTAGATTCAAGGGCTATCTGCAGTAATACATTATTATCCCAGCAGCTTTAAATAAGCAGTTTAATATTCTATGCACTTTCATCTTGGTCTAGATTCATATAATAGTGTACTGGCAACATAAATGAAGTAATTTTACCTCATCACCCTTCTCTCCAGCAAGTCCAGGAAATCCACGTTCACCTTTGCTTCCCTATGAAAACAACATTCACACAAACGTTTTCTATTAGAAAACAATGAATTTCATGCTCTGAAGAGCATGAAATTTTATGACCCACATTTAATATATACAAGTACAAAGATAAAGCAATAGTGATTAAAACAAGAAAAAAAAAGCTCAATACTACCCGTGAGTTTTAAAATGGATTCCCACTAAGGTTGAAAGAAAATAGTATTTTTTACCTGATAGGCAAACTGGCATAAAAAGACTGATGGAGATACAGTTTTGTTTTACAAATACTAAGGAGTTTAAATGCTTGCCCACATGGAGAATGTATACTTTCAATTAATTAAGTTCTACTATAGGAAATTTATTTGCCACGCCATGAGGTCTTTTATCAGATTGTTGTTACACATTTGAGAGATTAGTTTTGTTCTTTACTGAAAGATTCCTGCATGACTGACTCACTTAAGCCAATAGATGGCAATGCACTACTGGACAATTAAATCTGAGCTAAGTTTAGCTAACAAGACACAGAAAGCTATACTGGCTTGGGACTCAGCTCCCAAGCTGTTTAGCTCACTTCCCAGAGAGAAAGGGCACATTAAGACAGGAAGAGGACTAAACTGCAAAAACTGTCTGAACCTTTAAGCTGCTCAGATGCTACAGGAACAGGGATCAGACAAAAAAAAGTTAAGACTTCTCTGACAGAAAAATCTGGCTTTTGATTTTTAACAACAAAGCAGAGTAAAATAAGCTCTTCTAAAACTTACCTTTGGCCCCTCTCTGCCAGGGATGCCTGGAGGACCTCTTGTGCCTGGATCACCCTAAGGACCAGACAGAAGGCAAAGTGATAAGTAAGCATTTTAGTGACAGGTTCAGAAGATCTGATTTTTGCAACCATGCTTTCCTGCCTTTGTTACCATCCATAGGTGACTCTTCCATTCATTCTCATGGAGGCTGATTCAGGTTCACTAATTCAACCATTTTTTCCAAACATTTTATATGCTAGAGATAGAAGCTTAATATAAACAGTTAAATTAAAGCAAAACTTTCTAAACAAATTGGAAGCAACTAGTTATAAAAAGAAAAAAAAAAAGAAAAAAAAAAAGAAGATAAAATAAGGCAGATACGAGTTTTGAACATGTAGCCTTCGCAGAATAATGTTTGAATGTAGAATTTTAGTTAAACTGTTTCCAAAGCTCTTGGTGAGACCATAGAGATGCAGCAAAAGGAAATAAAATTTACAGTAAGTTAACAAAATTATTGTTATTGCTAATCCTTAACTTTCCAGTCTAAATCAGTTTTATGAAACAGTAACACTCTTTCAAAAAGAGACACCAGTGAATTTTCAGAAACTGAAAATGAGGTGTTCTACTATCATTTCTACAACTGAAAGTGGATAGATGTAGACTGAACACAAAGAAAAAGCTTTAGTTGAAGAGGCACTAGAACAGGTCGCCCAGAGAAACTGTGGATGCCCCATTCCTGGAAGAATTCAAGGCTAGACAGGATGGGGCCCTGGGCAGCCTAATCTGGTGGCTAACAACACTCCCCACCGAAGTGAGGGGTGGAGTTTGATGATCTTTAAGGTCCCTTCTAATCAAAACCATGTTATGATTCTATATTTCATTCTATAACCTCTGAAAATGTTTACCTTCAGTATAGTACCCATGTCTCCCACTAGTGGCAGCGCAATCTGAAATTACAGGAAACACTTGCAGTTAATCTTTTACACAACGTTACCAATTCAAATAGGTACTGATTTTTTCAGAAGTTTATATGGCAACTCATATAGCTAATTACATATACATTGGCTGAGATAAGTTGTCTCTGAGAACTCTAAAAATCAGGGCAATCCACAGAGCTTTAAAATGTTAAATATCACTGTCATTCCAATCTACCAATGTAATTTTTTCTTACAGTTTGAACAAAGTTGACATAACACTTGCCCCAAAACAAGTAAATTGTATTTTCAAGTAATAATATGTAATTGTCTTTATAGCATATCAACAACAAATCATCCTCACTGGAAATTCTCACAGCCTCTTGTCACTTATTATTTTCAATGTTTTCCTTCTGCTTTCTCCTAGGCTTTGACTCTAACCTGAACTAAATTCTGAACTGTAAAGATGCCAAAGCTAACTTCATTAAATTAGCTCAGGTACTGGAAATAATCCAGCTACAGTAACGTGAGCAACATAAGTAATTTTTTGTCCTGCCTTTAAACATTAAGAACCAGTGCAAGAGTCTGTGATGCCACAACCAAATTACTAACAATACTAAAGATAACCCATTTAAATCTCAATCAATAGGTAAACACTATGCTGCAATATATCTGTATCCTCCGATTTCCAAGTGCTGTTATTAGACTTACATTTAAAGACTTCCTATAAAATCTGATTGAGCCGATTGCTCGCAGACTTCAATTATCAGTGCTCATTTCTTCTTGCAAGTGCTAAAACAAAAATAGCCCTGGGCATATGATAAAATTAGACACATTCAAAATTTGTTACTGCTTTTGTTCAGCTATGGGAATCAAACATCAGTTCAAGACAAGAACTGCTGAATATACCCAATTTAAGTATAATCAGGAATAGACTATTTACCCCATTTGAAAGCATGCTGAGAATAACTATTTTAATTTCTGTACTGTTTTAAGACACAGGACCCAAGACATGCAGTTTGACAGGGTCCTAAAATTCAGTTGCCAGGGCACACCAGTTAAGTGACTAGGTCTACTGCACTTGTGACATAGAGCTCATGTGCTCTGTGAATATAGCAAGTCCAGTGTAACTGCGCACATAATGTGAAGTCACAGCTGCATATGTGGAGCTCTGAATAAGTGCTTGATACATCCTGGGCTTTTAAAACTGTTAAAATGGGCTTAATTTTCCAGCCTTACTCCTGGTTGCTACATCTTCCTTGAAAAAAATGTACCCTTCAAAGAGAAGAGTATTCCAAGAGCAATAAATGCCATTAGTATGTTTTAGCATTCAGATCAGTTTAGTAGTGGCATCATATTTTTTACTTACCTTTAGTTTACAGTGCACTGTGCCTTCCAAAACCTATTCAATTTATGGATTTTGTTTTTCATATTAAGTCCTTTATACTCATTGTCTCAAGTTTCATCTTGCTGACCTCTCTGAATTTTAGACACTGTTTTTTCTACTAAAACCTAAGCAATCTTTTCCAGTTCAATGGCAGTTTGTATCTACTTATCCAAATAAAACTGAAACATGGAAAAGAACCATGCATGGGAGAGACCTTTCTTTCAGAGTTCTACAAATGTCTGCTGATAGACACTGATATCTATATTTTTGATAAGCACTAACCATATGGCAGTTACTTCCAGAGCATTTTTTGCTTCCTTATGAAAACATCATGAGGACAATTTCAAAGTTTTAAGCAAGTCAAGATACACAATAGCACCATTTCCACATCCTTCCCAAGAAAGTTAACCTTTCAGAAATGGAAATATTATTTATTCCATGATTGATTCTTAACAAAATAATGCCAGCATTCTTGTATGTATTCATGTAATCCTTCTTATCAGTATTTAGAATTAAAAATATATATATATCTAAAGCAATCAAGCCTGTTTCAACTTATCTATTATACTTAGGTTCCTTTCTCTCTCTCGTTCAACAAAGATATGCTCTCCATTCAACTTCTCCATTCCTCAAAAGCCCCATCTTTCTCAGAATACTCAAAGGTAACTGCTAATCACTTAGAGACTTCTTTGTTCATCCCTCAGGTGAATTTCACCAGCTATTCATGCTGTAACTAAAAATCTTTAGCTAACTGTTTTTTTTTTTAATTAAATTAACTAAGATTAATATAATGTATTTTCCAAAACACAGGATTTTTTTTTTTTTCCAGTGGACGATGAAAAGCAAGTGAATTACTTGGCTTTCTCAGCAGAGTCTGTAATTTGATCTCCTTGATTATTAATTATAAGACTGGACATGTTGTTCTAGTAATTGCATTCAGAGTGCATGTTTCTTGGTTTTACATCCATTCCTAACAGCAGATCACTTATATCTCAATCTTTCTGACTTGAGTTCTATTTCCATACTCGCTGCTTTTGCTTGATGATCTTAGTCCTCTGGGAGCTACAGATGCTGTCAAGTGCCTTTTAAAGCACTGGAACTGCTGCTGTATGCTCAAGAACTGCTGCAGACATGATTTAAATAGGAGGAATGGTCCAGCCATGTAGTCGAAACTGTATCATTCAACCAGAAAAGCTTGTTCCATTGACTAATGATAATATAGGAGCCAATGGCACCATTCTGAGCCCAGATGATCAATGCATGCATAATGGCTAGATCCCAGCCTGTCTACTTATTTATTTTTTAGAAAGCTGTTCTCTCTGAGACAAAATCTTTGTGTGATTTTGTGACTAGTTTACTCTTCAATAAGCTCCTTGCTCTCAGTTCTTAGGCATACTTGTGGACTGCTGTGCATCTGTACCATCAAATGTTTAATTGAAAGTACTGTTTATTTTACTGCCTAATGCATTCCTGCAGCTGTTAAAAGCCCTCAGCTCTTCAGGCTGTCAGTAGTCTGCAGACCAGCTTGGAAATCCCTGCATGAGATTTGCATCACTGAACACTTGGAGATGTAAATCACTCCTAAGACATAAATTAAGTCTCTGCATCTGAAGAATACATACAATAGTCAGGTATCTGAAGAACTGTTACCTTAAGCCACAAACAGACTGAGGCCACTGCCTTTAATTCAGTGAGAAGGCCAAATTCACACCTTGGCAAGGAAAGGAGATTTTGCCAAAGGGCAAATATTCAAATGTGAGGTTTTATTTTCTTTTAAATATATATATATAAGCATTAATATCACTGAACATCACTGTTTTAGTTTTTTTTTTTTTAATTATGCATTTAACTAAATACTAAATTATACTAAAACAAGATCACATGTGAGTTCAGTAATCTTTTTTAAATATTAAGCTCTAGTTTTGGTTTCTTCCAACTAACTGTTGGCTTTTATTCTGCTAATGGAATATATTCTAAAAATAGCTCAGGAAAATTGGAAAATGTTGTTTGGCATTATAAAAGCTTCAGCAAGCATTTTTTTCTAGACAAAAGTTTGTTTTTTGAAAGCTCTAAAGTAGCTGTGAGGGCTCAAGATAGGAGCAGGAATAATGACTGAAGAGTCTCCATTTGCAAACTCAGCAAACATGCACATGGGACTGTCTTGACTCCCATGTATAATCCTCAGTAATGTCTAATGGTACCATTTGGCCTGAGGCATATGTAGATCTTTTGGATCTTGCAGAGTTAGACTTCACAAAATCATAAAACCGTAACACTGGTGCATATTATATCCAAGAGGAGATGAATATCTAAAGTATATCAAAGGATCAGAACATTTTTTCCCCTAAAACTTACTTTTTCATTATTGTTAGAGGGAACATATCACATGAAAGACTGGCATCTCAGAATTTCTTTGAAAATTATTATCTTCCTTCTGTGGCATTGCAAAATTAGCTAAAACTTTTTTTTTCTCATTCTTTCAAAGGAATTAATCAAGGTCTGCTTCTGAAAATTTGCATTACACAGAACTCCTTCTGAGGCCGAGGAACATGGTGCCAAGTTATAGCCTGGCAGAAGTGCTAGTATACAAACATTCAGATAAGATCTGAAACAGGGCATTTATCCCATTGAAGTCAACATAACATTAATTCATACAGCAATAAAATCACGTAAAAGTAAACAACAACAACAACGGATATAATCCTAGATTAATCAAATTAATTTAATAAATTGGAATTTCAGGCTTTACCCGGTTATCTCCTTTAAAATTAAAATATTCTCACCAAAGCAACTATACAAGCTTTCCACATATACATACTGGATCGCCTGGAGGGCCTGGTAGTCCTGGCTTTCCATCTCTTCCTGGAGTGCCCTAGAAATAAATTGAAAATGTGGCAGCCTTAAATCATTGACAGAGGAAAAAATTACTTTTTACTGCACATAGACAGGTACTTACATTAATACCGGGGGTACCTGGAGTTCCTGGTAATCCTGGAGGCCCTCTAGGGCCCTAAAAGCAGGAAAAGTCTTTTAAGATTTAAGAACACTTTCCTTTTACTGTAAATCTCTTTAAAGTAATGGCTTTGTTTTGTTTTGCTTTCATCTTAAAGAGAAAGCTTGTATCCTACCTGGATGCCTGTAGATCCAGTTGGCCCTATAGGACCCTATAAGAAAACACCAAATAATGAATAATCAGTACCTACCCTTTTGGGGACAAGGGAGATAAAGTCGATTAAAAAATACACTCAGTATGGGATAATGGCTCAGTTCACATTGCAAGAAACACTGGTCGTAAGGTTTGGCTTTAAATACGGATCTAATTTTACCTAAATTAGAGAGATCATGATTTTTCTGGGGTATGATTTTAAGGGCAAGTAATGGCAAATAAGAATTATCTGTGGTAAAATGTGTTTTCAGCAATTCATAAGATAAAAAAACTGTTGAGTAAAAAATAATTAGATTATTTAAACATAATTGAGAATGAAAATATGTATCTGAACAAATTATTTTAAATTATATTTAAATTCAAATTTCAGCATAAATCTCCAATCTCTTTTCTCAAACCTTTCCTCTCTGAGTCCTGCTAATAAACTGAAATGTACTGCTTGAGTATACTGGCCTAGTCTGATGAGAGATTACCCAATTCACCACAGTAGAACTCATGCAATAACATCTTCAATCTCTGTGAGTACTTTTTTTTATTGAACAATCCACAGACAGTGTAGATGTTATATTACTTAAAGGCACTAGAAAGAAAGAAAATCGAGAAACAAACTAAATACTTGAAACAGTTATTACAAGTTTGAATTATTTAGATACTAACTTGTTTTGTGTTTGAATTTAAACTGCGTAGAGATGCATGAGGAAGGCTGTATAATATGAGAACTTCACTATTTCCTGACATAGTATCTGGACACTGTAAGGTTCTTGTTTATAAACAGTAGATTTAAGCTTGTAATTAGCAGTTATCACAAGTGCCAAAGCTTGAAAGAGCTGATGTAAAGCCTCCCACATCTTTTCCATGTGTATTTGTCTCTTCCAGTACTGGCATGGGTTTCAAAATACCATCACGTGCAGTGTAGAATAAACCTTTTTTCTTGTACCACTACTCACTCTGGACTTTGCTGACAACTGCAACTGATGGCTGCTTAGAAACAAACACAATTAGTCTGAAAGTGTGTCAACATCACTACTGGTTTGCCAGTAATATAGCCATGGATTCTCTCATTTCTTTAGGCTTATAGTTTTCAGTGAGCACTAGATTTATGTGGATCTAGATAAAGGGAAAAGTTGCTGAGCCGTGAATTGAGTCAGAATGGAGTTCATGTTACAGTTTCTCAGTGATGCACAGTGAGAAGCCCAAATTCTGGGCACTGGTATACTTACTGGTGATCCCTGAATGCCTATTCCAGGAGGCCCTGTCTCTCCAGGGGCTCCTTGTAGACCAGGCAGTCCTCTTTCTCCCTAAGAAGGTTACAAGGCTTTCAGTTAAAACAGGTCTGAAAATGCAAACTAGTTTATTATCCTGTATTTACAGAAGCAGTAATAACTTTTTATACCTTTGGTCCTCGTGGACCTGGGTTTCCAGGAATACCAGCGGAACCCTAGGGAAAAAAACAACAACAACAACACAGCAAGAAAAACAAGAAAACACAAATTATGTTTTGAAATGAAAGAGACCAGGTGAATCTTACTGCCAAAACTAGTCAGCCTTTATGAGTAAACTATGGTAGATTTACATATGCCTTCCTTGTTAATAGTACTGTCACTAGGATCCCTTGTAGATCTTCCACTAATAATACTATATATTTTAATGTACTTACAATAACACTATAATATATATTTCAAGTTTGAAATCACATCTGAAAATTACTTGTTCTTACTGCATTGTTTTCACTACACAATGAAAATTCTTTAACAGTTATCCCTACAAGAAACAAAGCCACAAAAACTTTTTCAAATCACAGACTTACTGGTCTTCCAGGGAGACTTGGTCCAGGAGGCCCCACCTCACCTTTTGGACCTGGGTGTCCAGGAGGTCCCATGATTCCACCAGGGTCACCCTACAAGATAAATATGAATCATGAATCAAAATTATCAAGATTATCCTAGAATGTACTTTGAGAAAGAACGGACAAAGAAAATTTGCAAAGCTTTATACAGCCCTGCATTTCATAACCTACAACTGTAAGTAAGTGAGGCTATGCACCTATCAAAATCATTACCATAGATTTATCAAATTTATCACATTTAATTCCACAGAGGTTCTGCTCCCTGCATCTATAAGAACTCAGCTCTCAGGAGGTAGGAAAATCCTGTGTGTTGTTCTCCTAGTGCATTATTCACAGCTATCAACAAACTTCTGAAAGTGCTACATGTGTATGTATGGAAAATATATTTTAAAGCTTCAATTTTCTATCAAAAATATATTTCCTTCAAGAAGTTACAGAAAAAGAGGCATGGACCATAGCACCCATAACAGTAACCACATCTTCTCAATTTTCCATGCTTGTAATTTATCTGATCTACATTTCTTATGTCCCCAGCTCCCCAAAATGCAGATTGTCACTAAGCCCTGATGATTTTCTAGTGTAGGAATGTCAGACTCACTCCCTCTTTCTCTATCCCTCTTCACTGTACTCCTGTTCACACTTCTCATTTCAGTGCATGCAGCACGTCTTGCTCCAAATCTCTACAACTTCTCCTACTTACACATGTGAATCTGTGCCTTTTATTATGTTGTCCACGCTGCTGCATAACTGTTTGTGGTTCTTTCCGTTTCCACTACTTCTCATTTTGAAAGTATGTTTTTTGTTGTTATTCCACAATTATTTTCCCTCCTGCCTCTTCATCAGCTTGCTTTTTTTTTTTTTTTTTCTTGAAGTTGTTAAATGATTTTATTAATTTCCTCTGTATCCCAAGATGTGTAAATACCATAACACTTCACATAGCTCACAGTGTGCCTGTACAGTATCTTTTCTCCCCCTCCCTACACACAGCATATACACACACATAACTCTTGCTGATGAAGCTGAATTCCAACCAAGAGGCTGTCTACCCAGCACAACACAATGCCATAAAGAGATCCCAGACTTGGCTCAGGTCTGCCTCAGTGCTCTGCCAAGATGAATAAGTCTGGCCATGAAGCATGATTTTAGACATTAGCCTCGTTAGGGCACAACACTGAGAGGGTATCCTATTGTCAGAACTTAAACTGGTATTTCTGCATGGCACATTTTTATTGTTAAGAGTCCAACTTAACCTCTCTTGAAATAATACTTAAATTATGAATCTGAAGAGCAATTGGGTTGACAAACTGGCCTGCAATATAACCATGGAGACGGCAATTGCTGCTTGTACACTTCTAAAGCAATTCATAAAGCTGCTGCACAGATGCACTACAGATGAATTGAAACAGTCTTCACAAGACAGTCTAATAGCCTCTACTATACCAATCTTAATTAAGAACAGTTAGTATATACCTTTTCTCCTTTAACTCCGGGCATTCCTGGCAACCCATGCTCTCCTGGTAAGCCCTGGAATTAATACAATAATAATAAAAATGATAAAATATTTAAGAGTATATATATAAATAAAATTGAACATTTTTATATCTATTCTCTTCAAATCTAAAATTACAGATGAAAATGAGTTTAGACTAGATTATTTACTGTACTGTATTTAATGTACTGACCCATAATGCTAAAGAGTACAAATTAAATAATGCTTCATTAAGAACATTTCTGAATCATTTCTTCTTTAGATCAATACTTAATAATCAACATTATTTCCTGGACCCTTTCAGGAGAGAACTGCAGAGGCTTTCTTTTACTTTTATTGCAAAATGTTCCCACGTCTTGGAAATCAACTTTTTTTCATGGTAGCTGGTTGTAGATACCAACTTGAGTTTTAAGTAACAGATGTCTCTTATCTTTTTCAACCATGAAGAAGAGTGTAGTTCATGATGCATTCTTATTTCTTAAAAGCCTCAGTAAATTAATCCCGCATATTCTTTCATAATTTCTAAATCTTCTTGTGACCTTTCACATTTTAACTCTGTTGCTCTTTTATGAAAGATTTCTTATAAATACAATGAAATGAGATAAAACAAAACAAACAGAAACTATTCAAATACTTTGGAAGGTTAAATCAATAGCTGATTCTCTTACTATGCTTGAATAGATACAAGAAACTTCTGTCATAACTCTTCTATTTTATTCAGCCAATTATTGTATCAAACTTTTTTACTTCCATAGTAAATGTCAAAAACTGATGAAATCAAATAGTCACATCTAAGCATGGTGTTTAAATGCAAATGGAAAACAACCTTTCTGAGAAAGACACAGAAATACATATTGCTTTTACTGTTTTCACAGTGGAAAACATAGATTTATAAACATCTGTATATGAAGTATGATGACATATCCATGCCAACAATGAGGATTCAGCATCTGTGTTCACTCTCTCTGCTGTATTCTGTCCTTAATATAGACAGCCACTTGTTACAACCAGTCTTTTAAATTAAAAGAAAAAAAAAGATACCTGAAGAATATTCTGCTTATACCAAATCATTAAAAAAATATATGCAAGTTTAAATTTATTGACTGTAGAGCAGACATGGTGTCCGTGTACATGTACACACTCCTCTTGGAGGATTCCACAGGCTGTGGTCTCATGGTTCAAAGTGTCTGTATCCTGCTTCTGACATCACTTGACAGCCTGTAGTGCATCTGGATATTGGGGTGTAAGTACGGCTGAGATGAGAGCTTTTGTCATTCTCGATTATTTCACACTCTCACTCACTTGTTCCTCTGTTAGTGTTTCATTCATTAGTTGTTGACCTTCCTTTCCATCAAGGAGAATGCTATTCATTCAAGGTGGTTGGGCAGCAAGTTGCCTTCATTACCAGTCCTAGTGGTTAAGTTCCCAGAGTGTTTGCTAACAAATGTTTCCATGCATCTCCCTGATCTCCACAGCATTCACTGGCTTCTAGAACCATTACTCCAGCCAAGATCTTCCATCTGAGCACAGCTCTTCTTCTCACGAGCTCTTCTTTTTTGACATTACTTCTTCCTGGTATTCTCACCCCTTGATTGTTTCTGTCCAAGTAGTATATATGTGTGCAACTGATGATCAGTCTCCACACTGGTGAGTCTCTCTTATATCTCTATTAACCGAAGAACCCATTTGTGTCACTTTTGTTTAGTACAGGTGCTATCAGAATTTAAAAGCAGATCCTACCATTGCATTGAGCAAGTTGTACCTTTCTAATTTGAGAGGTTCAGGTTTTGATACTGTCACATGCATACAAACACACATACAATCTGCCTGTCAGTGTTCCCTATTGAAGCTATTTTTCACCAACAGCAGCCATAAATGACTTTCAGTGCTTTATGACTGTCAGCAAGTCTCTATACATTTCATTTGGAATACCAATTGACAATCGTAAAATTAATCTCTTTTTCCATTCTCTACAGGAGTATTTTAGTAATTTAACAGTAATTCAATAAAAGAGTTTTCTATTAATTTCTTGCCAAGTAATATCTCTACTCTGTTAAAAGATTTAATACTGCTCCTGTTTTAAAAGAATTAGGTAAAGGGTGAGTCTGGTTCTGAACGAGTTTTGCTCATAAATTTGGTCTAAATGTTAAGACAATAAATGCTTTCTTTTAAATTCTGATCCTCTTATTAATCTTTGCCCTTTTTTTTTTTAATGAGAAATAAATCAAATCAGGATATTTGGAAAATATAGACAGAAAAAATAAAGAACACAATGTGCTTTAATCCTTGGAGTACTCTTACTTTCCCTATTTATTCTCATTTTGCTCCACACTGTTTTTCCAGCTTATGTTTACAATACTTTTTACATTTTGCCAGAGATATTCAGTTTTCACCTAATCATGTGAGGTAAGAGAAATTTTTGTAGAGTTAATTAACTGTGAATTAAAAAAACAAAAAAATAGTATCACCATTCTCACATATTCATGCAGACGGTAACATGAGCACAGAAAGAACACAAGCAAATCACAGAACTTTATGCTGAGGCTCAGAACCTCACTGTGCTTTGGCAGCTGATTTCTATAGTGCCAGTCAAGAGAGGAGGGCCTATAATGTATTGTGTGTCACTGTTTGACTAACTAATTGCTCACATGCCACACTTACACAGTTTGATGAAATTACACAATACATACAACTTCTCCTGGCTCTCCCCTGGGTCCTATAGGTCCTGGAGGTCCTTGCAGTCCCTGTAAGATGATATTGTGCACGCTTGAGATAAAAGTCATCACTTTGGAAGTTAATGCATACTTTCAGGTGCAGGCTACTGAAATAACTTGTTACTGCTATGGAAACCTAGGTCACCATCATATTTTATACCATCTGCAAGAGGCTTGTAGAGATCCAAAGGATCATTAGGGTTTGCATCAAGTCATCTTTTTATCTCTGCTTTGCATCCCCATTTTTTTTTCTATATTCTGGAGTCTTTTAGTGCTCTAGTCTGTCTCATTAGCTCTTTTCTGAGAAGAGAATGAGCAACTGCCACATAATTCAAGAGCTACTTCTGTGTCTATGTTCTCTAGAAAGACTACAACTTGTTTTGTCTCTTATAATGCATATACTTATTATTATTTATGCTTATACTCCAGTCTACGGAGTTTACTTAGTAGAGAAACATTTTTATGACCACAGGTCTGTGGATTCCCATCTACATCACCTGTGATTCTTTTTGATGATCTAGAGAGCTTGGGTATAAGCATATAATGAAATTCAATCACAGCATACAACAAAGTCTGTAGTTACTAAGTTAATTCTACAAAGATACTTTTCACATACCTTAGATCCTGGATTTCCGATGAGACCAGGTGGTCCAGGGTCTCCCATTTCACCCTAATGATATTTTTTGAGAAAATAACAGCTTTATTATTACGTTTCTCAGAACCAGATACGTATAGTAGAAATGTATTTAGTGTGTACTAGTAAAAAAAAATACCTTATTTCCTTTTGATCCCTCCATTCCAATTTCTCCCTGAAAACAGCAAATATGACCATAAGAAGTTGAAACTTAAACTAAGATCAACTAATAATTCAACTCTCTACCCTAAAATATTACAGTTGCAAACTTAAGAATTATTGAGAAGAGAATTAAAGAATTTCCGATGCCCTGTGGAAACTTTCCTCTTTCAAACTAATTCTGCCTGCAGGTTTTACAAGAGGTTTCAAGAAAATTGCTTGAATTGTTCGCTTGAGATCTTCTCCAGTCAAAGCTTATTCTTTCCCAATAAATCACTACTTGTGACATAACATTCATCTCCAAAACAATGCATTATTACAGCGTGCCTTATTTTGGTTATTACAATATGTTTATCAGAAGTATCTAAGCAACCTTCAGTTGTGTATGAAAAAATATAACAAGCTTCTACCCAATGTCACAAGAGAGGACGATAGTTAATTTAAAAAAGCAACACATGTAAACAGTCACTTAAAGAATAAGTGTTCTTAAAATAACTCCTCGAAATAGTGAGAAATTATGAACACATAAAATGGCTATAAAAGTACTGCCCACTGTTAAATGCTACACTATGGGAACCATTAAAATAATGGCCCACACATGGTTTTGTGAAATAAATGGAAGAGAGAAAAAACCTTCAGGGAACAAAAAAAGTGTGTAGTTTAAGCTCAGTTCAGGGACAGTAACAACTGACAATCCATCTGTCTCAACAGAAATGGTGAAAAACTGGGTACTGTGCCACATCTCAGTGTTTTATTTATAACCGGTTTGAATTTGATGCATGTGTAAGGAAATGATAAACATGCTATGATATAAAATCACTGAATCTAATGGAAGTATACAAATAAAAGAATTGCTATGTGAACACCATACAAAAAAAAAAAAAAAAAAGCAACAAACCACATAAAATGTAAATTATTCCCTCAGACAACTAAAAGTGTAGTTATACTCACTGGATCTCCCTTGTACCCCTTTTCTCCCTATGAAAAGCATAAAGGAAATGATAACATAGGGTTATTTTCAATCAGTAAACAGTGCATGTGTGTCTGTTTTCAGTGAACAACTCTTGAAACAATGCTTCTTTTTTTTTTAACCTATATAAAATTATATAACATATAAATACATGAACTGCGATAGTTTCTGTGAGAGATACATATCCATACACATCTATTCCTCAGTAAAAACACTTAGAAAACTTCAGCTGAAATGAAATGTTATTGAACTAAAGATGTTACTGAATAGCAAAATTAGGACTGTTGTGAGCTGCTGGAACAGTGAAGTTTACTTGCATATGTAAGTATTTTCTCAAGGTAGAACAACAGAAGCTGACATCTTTTCCCAAGCCTAGATAACTTTCTCTTGACACTGAGTACATTCTCCAAGATTTGATCCATGCATTCAGACACTTTCTAGCATACACAGAAATAATGAATTAACTTACCTTTTCACCTTTTGCACCTGGCATTCCTATTTCTCCTTTCTGACCCTTTAAACAAAATATATTATATTTGAAATCTTTTTATTCTAACAAACAGAAAAACTTCTCGTGTATTTCATCTGTACTCTATTTTGTGTAGGGCACAAAATCTTAACATTTACTGCAATAGAAAATGGTGATTGAAACAGCTCCAAATTTATTTAAACTACATTCTACAGTAGATCTGTAGGCTTCTCAATAAGAACTGCTCTCAGTGCTCTGACAGTCACAGTGCTTTTATTTTTTTTCTTCTTCCAAATTTAAAAGCAGACAACTGATAAAAAATAATTCCACTGATTAAACAGGACAAATGCCTACAGACAATATAATATCATATGGTCAGAATTTGACCTCTATGTAGTTCTTATAGGCTGATAGTGTTTTTGGTATAGTAAATTCCATTGTTAGAGAGAAACTACTTTTAATGGTCATGATTTACTATTAAAATATTACCTGAATTTTGAGTTATTTGGAGGCTTTTGCCCCTATTAGGCAGGCCATCTCATTTCAGTTCTTCTCAGACAGGGCTATGGTAGCCACACATAATTCTTCCTGTGTTTTCCCTTTTTGGCTATCACAGATTAGAGGGCAGAGGTTTACATGCAATACCTGCAGGATGGCATACCATCTGGACATTGGACTACACCAATCAAAGAGTGACATGTCTAAAATCTGTTCCTTCAAGGACCATTGTGGTAAATTAGATATACTATGGTAAAGGTGGCACAGACAGGTTAGATAGCAGTTTCAAAATCTCTCCAAATTTCATCCAAAATTCTTACAATTTCTCCCTTTTGGCCTTCAGATCCAGGGGTCCCAAGTAATCCTATTAGTCTTGTATCACTCTGGGAAGAAATATCATAACAAAAAAACATGTCAACATTGATTTAGGATTTTGTTATCATAACAATTGCATTCAATTTACCAGTACATAAACCCAGAACTCCTAATTTACTGTCAGAGAAGAATACTACAGTCCCATGTAAGCAATGTATTGCAGCAACACATACTTTTTCATGCATTCATATTCCACTCACATTTGCAGATCACATACAAAAGCATGAGGCAAATATCTATGCTGAATATCGCTATGCAAATTTGTGATTTTTTTTCCTCTTAAATTAGTGCAATAATATATTTTTATGTTAATTATTACAGTTATTTTCTCAAGTATGTTTGAAAAGAACAACAAACATAACTATGACAAAAACACAAGCCTTTTTTGTCTGAGCAGCATGGACTTCTATTACAGCAATAAGACAGAAAGAGGGAATTAATGTGTTCAACAGACTTCTTCTCAACACACTGCTTCTCATATAAAACAGATCTAAGGAACAGGAGTTCAGGTTTTATGTTTATAAGCCACTTTTGAACTGCACCTATTTATTCTTCTGCACAAGGTAAAGACACAGTGTAAGACAAAATAAAGAGTTACATCTTTACAAAGCTTAGGCTCAGATTACCTACAGGGAATATGTTTTCTTTTAATGACAATGAAAAAAGCTACAAAAATAGCGACCCTGAAAAATGAGCTTTGGTTTGGACTGAAGGAATCTAAGCCTTAAAACATCTGCCACTATGCTGAATGGGAATATTAAGCAAGTCAATTTCCCTTGCCATTTTCTGGTTTCTTTGTGAAAAGGGAAGTATTACAATGAATGTAAATAGATTTACACTCTATTAACATTTTTGAAATATAGCTGAACATAAATTGAATACAATTCAGTTATTTAATAAACATTAAGGTCCTGATGGATCTCCTGCAGTGTTAGGGTTTGTAACAGTTACTAAGCTAATTACAAAAAACAGCTCCAGAGGAAGAGGCAGATACTGAGGGAACATGAGGACTGTTGAGTAGAAGCTGACTACTGCTTAACCTCGAACAGCCCAGGTTTCCTGCCATTATATAAGTGTAGGCTATAAATTATGATTTATTCTGACTTGTGCATTTCTTTTGCATACATAAAGAAAGATAAAAAGTATTCAAACAAAAAGCTGCTTTTATGCTCTTTGCATATTTATAGTCATTCACTAAATGCAAGAAAAATATGCTGAAGAAAAAGCCATCAGAAAGCAAAGATGAATTATTCACAAATCAATGCGTAATTCTGAAAAATTTCCAGAGCAGATTGTGATGTAGTTTCAGTTGTTTTGCTTTGTTGTTTCATTTTTGTATGCTGGCGAACATTTCAGATTAAATTGATCTGTATGCCCTTTCTAAAGATGTCTAGAAGCAGGGTTGACTGAAGTGACCTTATACCTGAGCATGGTAGAAAGTAAATTAAAAAGATGACATAAGGAGGCTTTGAAAGCCCAAGCGAAGGATGATAACAGAGGCCTGAGAACATGTAAACACACAGCATGAATCATCGTTCACAGGTCACCAAAGAAGAAACATAAGATACAGAGCAGGGCAGAAACAGTTTCTGGCATAACAAATGAAAAAAATGCAGGTATCAAATGCATGCAAAGCATCTCTGTAAATACAGTGAAAGCACAGAAGGAAGGAATATAAAAGCACAAGAAGAAATATGAAAATAAGAACAGTCACAAAGGAAGAATGAAGAGGAAAAAAATACTCCAGCACTGTCTCCCACGCCACTAGGGATCAATGCCCCTAATTATCCTCAGCAGATTCCCCTCACCTTCATTAAAGAAAGACTGATGTATTTAGTTTGCCATTCAGCACAACTTGTTCCTGTAAATCAGGAATTCAATTCATAGTACTCTTTTTTTATATGCATAGTTCAAAAAATCACACATCTGAAAATGTGGACAATAGCCTCCTTACTTGATACATTGATTAATATTAAGCCAGAAGAAGCTTAGTTGCAATGAACTGTATAAATACACTGCAATCATGGCAATTCATTGGTACCATACAAAAATCAGAAGAAATGCAAAAGACTTAAGAACCAGATAATATGCTCAGAAAAAGACAGAGAAAAGACAGAAAAAAAGATTATTTTAATTTATGATAAGACTTCAGTTCATCTCTCATTGATTTCCCACCTTTCTTGCTGGCAGTGTTTGTCACGACTTCTAGAAATACCAATAAAAGAAGCTGTACTAACACTCTCAGAAAAATCTGATTTTAAAGTCTCTATAGCTATAAAAATATGGTCACAATCTAAGCAATTAAAAAAACTCCGCAAAAAAATGCCTGTGAGATCCTTGAGAATACACATAAAATGTTACAATAAGATAAAACTTCCCCATGGTATAAGAAAACCTCAAAAAATCTCTGAATGAAATATCATCTCATAAATGCTAACAATCAAAGCACACTGGAAATTATATACTTGAACAAGAAAGATTGCTTGGTACCTTTGAGATTCATTGAACAAAATCAACGCTCACCACAGTATGCAACAGTGTAAAAAAAAAAAAAAATTAGGGGGAAGTTAATGTTGCATACATCTGCCTAAATAAAAAATCAGTGGCAAAGTAGACATGTCTCTGATGACCTCCTTGATGGGAATATCCCATTCCCATCATAAACTGTATAGAAACTAACATGTTTGCTGTTGCAGCTGGAGACTTCAGTTGACCCTAGCAAGATCTGAACATGTAGTTATAAAAAAGCCTGTGTATTTAAAACCTGCTACTTGAATCAGAAAGCCATCATCTCTCTCCTCTGAAATGAAATCTTAGCACTTCCTTGTTGAACAGTTAATTGCTCATGACAGAGTCATTAAAATCTTCAAACTAGACAGCTGAAGGAAGAGGAATGTTGGTTAGCGGTTCAGAATTTATGAGACAATTAATTTACAGACACAGAGCAGCTGGTCTACGTTTTTCCAGAAGATTGTTAATTAGGAAATGTAAGACACCTTAGGAACACTTATAGCCATGCAGTGACAAGAAATGGGGTTCTTGGAGACAGATGCTCATGAGTTCCTGAAGATCCCCAGGGTTTGTATTCCCTGATACAGAATTAACCTTAAAGGGACCCTCAGGGTTAAAAAGATTAATAGGCCAGAGGTAGAGAATGAGCTACAGTAAATATGGTATTGACAGGGAAAATGGGACTGTTCTCAGTGAAAGCTGTCTTTGGTGAGAAAAAGAAACCAGTGAAAAAAACAAAAAGTATAAATACAGAGTAAATAAAGCTTAGACACATACATGTGAAATGGTAGAACAAATATAGAAAATTAAAATATCCAAGACAGCATACAAAATCATACTTAATTCTTAATCCAAGCTCTAAATTTATAGCCTGATTAGGAATGGATTAAGAACCATAAATATCAGAGATATCATGTCAGTGAAAAACGCAAAATATGTTTGACATGAATTTCACTCCAGAATCTTTTTTTTTTTTTTTTCCCTGAAAAAGATTTTTGTACTCATCTGGATATGTTATATAATAAAAATAGTCTGATTTCACCTTCTTTTCATAGTTATGCATTTCAACATTGAAGGAGTTGAATATCTTCCAGGCTTGATATGCGCAACATAAAGCAGGAAACACAGATTAGCCTCTGTATTAAGCAATTCCTATAATAATTCTTTATAAGCTTTTGAATGAAATATGGCTTTTTATTCAGATAAATTATGTGCTCACTTCACCACCAATTAAGAAAGCTTGCATGATCTGTGAATCACAGTGCTTTACAATGGCAGATACTACAACTACATAAATGATCTGAAATATCTGTTTAAGAGTTTAAAGGAGAAAATAGCAGCTCATGTGCTATTTTAACATCTTTCTATGAAGTGCTTCTAGTTGTAAAATGCCATGTAATTAAGACAATATTCTTATTAGTCTACAATATATGCATATGGACAATTCTTACAGATCTCTAGCAGACCTCACTTAATTACCTCCTTGCCTTTCTGTTCTATTCTTAGGATCATGTCAGGTTAGAGAAAGAAAGAAGAAATGTCACACATGATTTAGATCAATTATGTTTAGAGCTGGGGAGCTACTGCTTCATACTAACAGCTGGGTGGTCCAGCTTCCTCCTTTCTGAGTTACAGCAGTGAAAAATAGAGGAGTATGAGATGTGGGAGATAAGACATATGGCAGCAGGATAGATGACATAGTAGGTATGCAAACTGATTGCAGACTGAGCCTATGGAGGGGTGCAGAAGGGGAGTAGGGAGAAGGGGAAGGATCTACTTTTTGGGTGAATTTGGAATGTGGTTTGCAAAGATGAAAATTATGGTCACTTCTATCTTAGATGCTTCTTAGCTATTAAGCACACAGTCATGGACAGACAACTCAAATTTCCATACCTCATTATAATGTTTGTTCAATGAATCCAGAATTCCTTCTAGTACAGAAGGGCCCTGTAAGGAAGAAACATGTATCAGAAGATCATTTTAATTTAACTAATGTTATGTTTACCTACCCGTACTCGAAGAGAGCTCTGTTCCTGTAAAGAAATTTTGATTTTGATTTGCTTCCACAATAAATTATTTTCTGTAAACTCATTATATCTTTTTTTTTTTTTTTTTTTTTTTTTTTTTTTTTTTTTTTTTCCCTAGGCACAATGAGAAGAACAATCAGTTTCAAAATCTTCAAGTTTTGAAAACTGGCAACTGTTTTGTAGTGAATCCATCTGTCAGAGAAGGCAGAGATGACATTCGCATCAGTCCTAATAGGAACCTTTTCTGCTATGAACTGAATCTTCTGCAGCATTTAAAAAATTCTTTTCACTAACTCAAAGCACAAATTTTGATGTGGAAGCAGCTTCAGGTGTGACTAAACAGTCAGATTTTTTAACTCTGAGTACTGCAAGGAAAGTTGAGGAATGGCAGATTTCTCTGAGAGATTTTCTAGTTTTATTGGCTATGCAAGTTTAGACAGACAACTTTCACCTAGAATTTCAAAAAAGGAGAACATGCTTCTAATATAATGCAGGCTTATGTTGGATATCTATATACACATATTTAAAAAAAAAAAAAAAATTAAGACATATTCTGCCACAAACCAGGCCCTTAATGAGATTTGTAGGTCTTGTGAATCAGGACAGAACACAAAAAGTTGAGTAAAGATCTTATGAAGTAAAACTTTGGTAAATTTAAGAATCAGAAAAGTATCTCTCTTAAAGCTGTGATTTACACATCATTCAATAAGCTATAGCCACTCATGGCGCTGTAAGAAACATTTGGATACATTAATGAGATAAAAGTATCTGTTCAAATCATCTGTCTGAGTGAACAGCATTTAACAGAGACAAGGCACAAAGGCAACCCTTGTTCTGTTGTGTTACAATCACAGACAATTTACAGGAGCCTGCAGCTTTTGTGTTAGTAGGAAAAATGTAGCTGGTGTAAATGTTCCCTAAAGATTGCTTTATGAAACTGAACTTTGTTCAGTTTTGGAAAGGGTTGTTCCTTAAGAAAATAGAGTCTGCTTATCAGTAAGACTCCGTGTCAGACATGGGAGATTAGTCAGAGAATTTAATCACAGATTTATACTTTCATAAGGTCCTTGTTAATTGTTCTGTAAGCCTTGTTATTACACACACACTGCATTCGCTACAGAAGTACTCCGGAACGCATCATAATAGGAAAGCAGCTTTCTACGCTTTCAGAATAAAAATCTGTTGACATTTTCTCCCATTTTCAAGCTAAAGGCACTGTAAAATTCTTACAAGAAGTCAGAAGTCAAATTACATCTCACCCATGACAGCAATTTGTCAAGATGAAAATACTATTGGTAAGACTTCCTGATCAAGAACTGCTGCCAAACTCACGGCAGCACAGGACCAGGATTCCAAAGTATTTCTAGAAAAACTGAGAAACTGTCCACTGATTTCATGTAGAGACCCAAGGAAAATACTGAAATGCTAAGAATTAATCTGCGTAAATATTGCTGAAAGTTTTACTGCTGAACAGTAATAATGGTATATTTGTTACTTCTACCACACGAAACCTTACAGCTGCTTCACTTCCTCCTTGTTCACTATCATTGGAAAAGACATAAGCCCATCTTTTTTTCTATTCATTTTATTTTGGAAGTGAATTGTCACTCTTGATTTACAATGAAAAATAATATAAATATTGTCATGATGTTTTGACTGAGACATTCCCTCAATTCTGATTTCTACAATTAGTGGCAGAATTTATGCTTTGATATCCATATTAAAGATGACAGTTCAGAACTGGGAGTAAACCATGATGACACTCCATACTTATTCAATGTCTCAACCTCAACACTGGAAGGTTTTAACAGGAACTCTCTAATGTGGCAAATGGTCAAAAAATCAGAAATTATCATCCCTTTTCATTTGCTACCACGTTGTTTCCTTCAATTTTTTTTTTTTTTTTTTTTTTTTCCCAGTGGAAAACCAGTAAAAATGAGTCTGCTGCAATAATAAAACAAAAGAAGGATCACATGCTCTATCTACCACCAACTCTGACCTCTCAGATATTAACTGTGCATCATATAAATCATTTCTGACAAAATTGGAACCCTTTTGACATGTCATTGTTTTGAGAAAATGACATAACCTCAAGAAACCCCAGAACTATCTTGTGACTGAGGCAGCTGAGGGGAGCTCAATACATATTTAGGTTGCATTCTTGACAATGTCACAGGCTTTGGGTTACCAGAGGTAAACCACCTCTCTTAGCTTTTCCATCTCCAAAAATTGACATAAATTTAATAATTCCATCAGCTTCCATAATATAATGAATAAAAATAATAAAAATTTTCTACAAGAACAGAAAATTATTTTATTCAAGGGTCTCTTCCTAAACTCTAGCCTCTGTATTTCATTCCCTACTGTTTCATTCTACTAATGTAGCTGCATAATTCACTCTTGAAGTCTCTACAGGAGATAAACAAACCAGCAAAACTGGTTTGCAAGTAAATAAGCAATAAAATTTACACAGGTTGAAGAACTACTGTGCAGGAAATTTGGAAATTTCTGCCTTTTGAATGATAATTTTGCCATTAATCTGCCATTTTGGATGTTTTTCAAGCTTTCCCCTAAGGAAATACCAATGACAAGCTCACTTGAGTAGGTTTTTAAAATTTTTTTTATTTTTAATATTGTGTATCATGTTCTGTAATTAAGGTAACTGAAGCACACAGAGAATATATGCATATAGATAAGAACTGAAAATATCTCCTAATTATTTACGACAATTACAAAGAAGTTTCAAATGTAATCTCCATTGTCAAGGTAGGAACAAACTGTGAAATTACATTAGTTCATAATGTATTTTCTTTCCTTAACTTTTTTCTCAGTCTATGTAGCAAAACATGTAACAAGCGAATTGCAGTGCTCGCACCTCTACAACAGGCCATTTATGAGACTGCAGCACTGAAAGTGACTCAGTGTAATCTCTTTATCCAATTATTTCAGGTCTACACCTAGTCCTGAAAATAAAATACCATTTTCTGATGTAAAAAACACAGAACTGATCAGTGTAGGTATGTAACATTGAAAATTATTCCAAAGATCAAAAGAAAGAATGATGTTGTTTGTCACAACAGAATACATTAAATAAATTACATTTTTATATGAATTTTAAAAACTTAAATGCATAGAAACAAACCACATGACCAGTCGTTGCCTGTCACTCCCCTGCTGCCATTTAGGCATTTATAATATTTCTAAAATGCAGCAGAATGTCCAGCAATACCAGAAATGCTACTGACAATTTTCACTTACCACTGCTTTGATTTTCTGTTTATTGTAATTAAGTGATAACATTCATTCACTTGCAAAACATTGGTAGAATGACAGTACTTCCTGAAGCAGAGGAAATGAGATTTCCAACGCAAACTGCTGGCTACTTAAGATAACTGCTCTGGTGGCACTGACATATTGAATAAGAGGGACTGAAATTGTATGGAATTAAATGAAGGAACTCAAGTAGGCTGTGAACTTCTCCACTCCCTCATATGGAACACAAACAAAAAATAAACCTTATTTCAATTTAAGACTTTAAGGAGACTTCATGCTAATCTTTGAAGAATTATTTCATTGATAAAGACAGGAAGTCCAGTCCCTTGTAAAGGGAGATGAACCCTGGTGAACCAGTTCTTGATATAAAGAATTTGATGCTTCAGATCCTTAGATAAAGAAACTTCTGGGAACACAGGAAAAGTGAAGTATAGTCATTCTGGTTGCAAACTCTGTAACTTTGAACATTTCGATAGAAAACAGCAGAGATATAAAAGGATGAATAATCTAGATTGCAGTGTGTTAACCTATGATTTAGGTGACTCAACATTTATTTGCATGCTCTGCCACATACAGCTTCTTAGACAAGATGACACTTGGCCAAATCATATGCTTCATGGCTTTAAATAATAATGTTGACGGTATTTTTCTTCTGCCAGATAGTTACACTGGGCAGAAATCTTACTCTGACTCACCCCAGAGAATACTGCTATGCTTGTAGGAATATGTAGAACAATTTTAGCTTGCTGTTCTTTATTTTTGAAACAATTTGATGATCTGCGGTAATTGGAACTATTTAGAAATGGAAATTATTCAGTCCTAAATGTTCCAGCAGAGACAGAGAAAATTGGAACAGAAGAGATCAAGTTAACCCTTAGTGGAGAAACCAGAAAAAAATATTTTTCTGTCCTACTTACTGAAATAAAACAAAAATATAAACTCTATTCCTTAGAAAGGTTTCACTAAATTCATAATGTGTCCTACACTATCCTGTTTCAGTGTCAGTATCTCCCATGACCAGCCAAAATATGTAAAACAATGCCAGATGCCATGCAATTTAGAAACACAATAGAATTTCTAGTTCACTAGTAAAAACACAAGTGACCTTTCCTTAGCAGAAGGCTAAGCTTTGCCTAAGCTTAAGAGAAGGCTAAAGAATTTGGCCAGTGTATCACTAGGCCAACAACATATAAATGTTATGTTCATACACCTTCCATACATTTAATTAGTGAAAGTATTGATGCTGTAACTAGAAAAATTATGAATTAAATACTTCAAAAAACAGGTATGCTATACCCCCTTCTGTGATGCTAAGTCCTGCAGATATTTTTGTTAGCAACTACTGCAGAAAGCTCTCAGTTCAGCTCTGCCATGAGATCAAAATGCTGTACTCAGAATCTCATACCATCTTACCAAGAGAGTAATTTTTTTTGTTTCATAAAATCTTCGCTTTGAATTCAATATAGAACCACACAAAATAGGATTTAGAAGAAAATGTGCGTAGGAAAATGTATGAAATACATTTGAAAGGTATTGAGATTTTTATTTCACACTCATAATATCCAGAATGTTTCTGAGGGAGAAAGGAATAGTGTATTTTACAGAAGCTTTAAACAGTTCTCTAGACTTTTTAAAAGGGAAGAAGGAATCAATAAGCACTAGAGGGAGCTGCTGTTCTATTTAAACCATTTGGGCTCGTTTTCAGCTTAAATTGTTGCGCACTGGAGTGTGACATGTGAGAGCACACATCTCAGCTTTCCAGTAGTGAAATGATACGCATGATACTCAAAAAACAACATCAGAAAGCATGAATTCTGAACCAGAAGGGAATAATATTAGATTTTAAAAGTCTACAGTATCCATCGACTGGCTTTTGTGGGCACAGGATTTATCATAGAATCATAGAATCACAAGGTTGGAAAGGACCTACAAGTTCATCTAGTCCAACTATCCTCCCATTACCAAGCCACTAGCCCATATCTCATAGCTCCTCATCCAGATGCCTCTTGAACACTGCCAGGGACAGCGACTCCACCATCTCCCTGGGCAGGTCATTCCAGTGCCTGACCACTCTTTGAGAGAAAAAATTTTTCCTTATATTTAATCTAAATCTCCCCTGGTGCTACTTGTGGCCTTGTTTGCATCAAAGGAAAAAAATGACACACATAAAAGGACTCCTGGAAGAAGATGCACAGAGAGTCCCACTAAATCCAAGAAGCACAATCAACACTTGCCAATAGATCTACATTTCTGGCACAGTGACACAGGTTTTTAACCAAAGATGTGCAGATGATACTACGGTACCAGAAATTCACTACAAACATCAATTATACTAGGGGGAAAAAATCCCCAGAAACTAGGCTACCAGAAAAGAAGAAAGAAAAAAAAAAAAAAGGAGAATTGAGAAAGCATTAGAAGAGTTAGACTGAGAATACAAAGCAAACCTTTATTGCTGCAATGCCAGAAGTACCTGAAAATTAATCAATTTATCAAAATGCATACCCCTTAGTAACATCCAATTTATAGCTCTTTGGGCTGCTCAGAATGTGGTTTATATCCTTCCCCTCCCTCCTTTTTTTTTAGCACTGTGCTTTACATCAAGCCCCTTGAGTATCCTAACATCTGCTCTCCACTGTCCTCAAGGAGGCAAAATTTTCCATCTCACAAGGTTTTTTTGTTTGTTTGTTTTGTCATTGCTGAGCACCTGGATGTTTTTCTAATATTAAGTACCACATAACATGAACAGATAACACCCAGCATTTAGCTGATCTAAAAATTAATAATTTATTTTTCCTTTTCTGAAATAAAATTTTCTTATTTTTCTGAAATATCAAACACCAAGTTTACTTTTTCTGGAGAAAACTCCAGACTGTGGTGAGCTTAATATTCACGTTAAGTCAATTTGTTAAGCATTTTGTACCCTATGCATGCCAAATTTATGATAGCAAAACAGCCTGTGGGAGTGATAGTTCTGAGGCCAAAGCAGAGGCCACATCCACATTCATGAAGAGGCTGTCAAAGGCCACGCATCTTCCCTGATCTGCAAGCACACCTATGATGGCACAAATCTCTAACAGATCTACAGTTTTTCATTGGTTCATAAAAAGTTAAGCATCTTGTCTCTTCTACGTTTTTATTTTCTATTTGTTTTTATTTAAAAGGCCATTTAATGGTATTTGTATTAAGAAAGATTCTGCATTACTTCTTCCCTCTGTTTGGACACCACTGAGTCTGCAATATCACTACTAGCCCCATGGCGTACAAAACACTCAAACAAACAAGGCTTCAATATGACAATGAGTAGCAGAGGAGAAGCAGGAATTTTTAGCTATTAAACTATATGCAAGATAAATGAACATAATTTTCAATTTCTTCCTGAGCACTTTCTTTCTTTTCCAATGAAAAAGGGAAATAAATGTAACATTTAAAGGGCTAGAACATTGTAAATGGTATCTATTTCAATTTATTAATTCTATTTAATGCAGTAAGATTCTCTTCTCTAGAAATAAACCTAGAAGTTTTCCCTGGCTATAAACTTGAAGTACACAAATCAAGTGTTTTGACATGCAAACTGCTGACCTTTATCTATTTCAGATAAGCATAAAAAGGAATTGTGAAATCCTTGTTTGATACTATGAATGTGAAGCAGCAGCAGCTTACCTATTCCACAAATTAACAGCTGTTCTATATTTGTGCACAATAGCATTTTTACAATACAACATATAGGGAATTTTATAAATATGACCAAATCTTCCTCAATCAAAAGAAGACGGCATTCATTATAGGTTAAGATAGCCCAGATTTATGCTTGATTTCAAATTTGAAATCACGTATCTCTTAAAAAACAAATCCCAAACCTCTTAGATCTGAGTTAAAACCGTTAGTGCTTCATATTATAAATCCTTTCATAGAGTCATGTATTTCCTAATCTTTTTAATTCTTCAGTAAACTCATCTGAACCACAGCTGAGTGCTCATTCCAGTGCCGGGTATAATCCTCCCTGCCATTCAAGCAGTTGGCACATGCTTCACAAAGTCCTTCATCTTTCAAATTACCCCTCTGAGACAGAAATTATCCCATCTTCTACAGAACATCACACATTCTGTAAAGTGAATGAATGCACAGTATTCCCATTTAGTACACATGGCTGGTCTTTCTTTGAAATGCCAGACATCTTCTGTTTCCTCTGCAGCAGTTAGCATCTTGGTTATTCCCTTCTGTATTGTTCTGTGCCTTCTCTCATGTTTGTGGACACAGTCCTTTTATCTCTACTGTATAAAAAGGCTGGGTCTAGTAGCCATCTGATACAGCAGAGCACTGATCAACTGTTTACAACTATAACCAGGCTTAGGCAAGCTGTTTAAAAGCACTAGCAAAGATTACTGTTCCAGGATGAGGTGGATATTTCCTATCCCCTTGCTTGATACTCACGGGAGGTCCCGGCGGTCCTGGTTTTCCAGGGAGGCCTGGCTTGCCTCTTCTTCCCTGGAAAAAAAAAAAAAAGAGCAGCAGATGTTTATAAATGTTACTGCTAATGAATGATCAGTAATTAGAGCTTTGTTTAAAAGAAAGATTTACTGCCTTATTTAGTAGCAAGAAGGTCAAAAATTACCCAGCCTGAATACTTATACAAGTCACTGCAACACCACCTCAGTCTACAACTTCCAGGATCGTTTCTTAAAAATTACAAGAAATGGTGTATTTGCATCTCTGTAACATTTATTGTCACGTTTTAAAGCTGTGTCTCAAATGTGACTGCACATTGATACAGAATCCTGATGATGTGTAAATGAGTTATATTTCATCTGAATGTTCCAGAGTTTGAGATGCTAAATTGTGTCACAGCAGTAGTCTCCCTGACTCCCACCATCAGTAAAAATGTGCAACATAACCCTATTTACAAACACCCCCATCTTTCTCCAGTATGTGAGAACAAGCAGAAAACGCTCAGAGATTTACCTGGAAAAACAGTTCATCTTCTTCATGCAATTAGTACTATCTGTATACATACTGCAAGTGCAACATCATTTGCATTAAAACTTAAGGTCCATAAAAATCTACTTAAGTTAACAGGAGACTTTCAACTCAGTCTGAAAAACATGCACATGTAACTAATATGATATTTTAGCACCGAGCTCAATTGGACAACTGCTGTTTTCACACACACATTTCTTTTTAGGAAGATAACACAAAAATGGAAGTAATTCACAGTAATTTACATCCTCATTACCAAGCTGAAATCCAATGCGCTTTTTTAGAAACAACAGCTGAGAACAACACCAATATCTAGGTGTGATGGAAAAAAGAGAATTATACCCGCACCGACTAATTTTTCCCTTGCGTATAGCAAACATAAATTAACAAAAAGATTAGGGGGATGTCCTAGTGAAAACTTGGCTTATGAAGCCAAAAAAAGGAAAATGCTTGCTGACAGCTCACAATTAGCACATAAGGTATATTTCTGTAACTGATGTTTCCTACATCTAACACTACTTCTGTATCTTATTAAATGATATCACACAGAGTGCAGAATGAAACCTCCGGAATGGAGGGGGAAAACTCAGCCTAACTCTCTAAAGGTGAAAACCCTAATGTGTAGAAACTTCTCACGCTCTGTCCCTCATTAATCATGAACTATCCTGTCATCATCTTGTTTACCCTCAGTAATGGTGGAAAATCCCTTTCCCCATAGCCTGCAGCTCACCAGCATAATCCACTGCTCAGATGTCAGAGGTGCTTCTACGAAGCAGGACACGAGGGTGTGAAGCCCTTCAAAGTGAAGAAAGAACCCAACAAGGACCGTGGGGACATGCTTCGTCAGTGTGACATGGACAAGTGCCCTGCCACCAGTTTTATGAGTCAGTCAGTGTGTTTTAAGGGCAGTGTGAAAAAATAAATAAATTAAAAAATCAGCATATTTGGAGTGCCAAATTCCTGGTCTTAACTAGCTGAGACATATGCTATGTGCTGAGCTGTTTAATCCTGTCAGCACTCGCACATGCAGAGCCACAACTGGGGCAGCCCAGGGTGAATGTTCAGAATCAAAATACGGCACCAGGTGCCTATATTGGGTTCAAAGCTCAGCACCCACCCCATGATATGTCCTCTGTTGGCTGGTAACATAGCCTGTGCAGCCATGAGATGAAGCAGAGCACGTAAGTCAACTGGGTTAAGGACAGCTCACAGAAAGCCCACTAATTTTTAACTTAGGTCAGGATTCAGCTCACTGGAGCAGCCCTGTAGTCAGCCGAGCATGAGATGTCACAGTTCTGGGAAAGGTGTGCATATACACTCCCCCAAAAAAGAGACTGTTAGCTATCAGTGCCACCAATGTTGCAGTGTGCTTCTTTGGGCCTTCACCCCACGTGCCAAAATCCAATTTAGATTTTATGTCTCACAGTTGAGATGTGTGATGTTTGGACTGATCTCTACTTCATTAAAGACAGATGGAAATTAATATTTCCCAGCTCTTTTGAAAGACAGTAAACTTTCCTGGGAAAGTATGAAAACCAGCTTGAGATAATAAAGTGAGTAATAACCAAATAGGAACTGCTTCATACTTTTGAAATGTTCCTGTGAGTTATTACAATCTATACTGTTGACTTCTTGAAGCACCTTCCTTTTCCTGTTTGGTCTTATTTAAAGCATCCTGAGGAGACGCATAAAATCACATCAGTCTAAACAAAGTATCAAGGAAGTGTCTCTGGGAAGAAGGCAGGGCTGTGACTGGCAGACACAACTGTGAATGAGGTGTTAATTACACAGGAAAACACCAAATATGCTCGGAAGGCAATTCTGCCTTTATTTACAAGATGAGCTAAAATGTGATTTATGACATATTGCCAAGTCAAGACTTGAAAAGCTTTCTGAAAAAAGAAATCAGTTATAAGAAAGTAAAATAAATAGAGACAGTTATTTTTCACTGCCACTTACTGATTGCCAGAACGCTTATGTTCTGCAACACAGAATATATGCTTGCCCCACATTTTGTCCAATCACTTCGATATCAGTCATTGTAACATGCGCCATGTGTACACAAAACATATAAAACAATCACACATTTGTATTTTTAGCATTGCATTTTTGCATATTTAAATGAAAATACTGAAAACTAAACATGAAATGAAAATGCTGACATTTTCTCTCTTTGAGAGGATGAAAATCTGTAAGAATTTACGTTATAAGCTTCCAGATTTATTTTTGTGGTTTTTTAAAATGATATTATGCATTCTTCATTTTCCTTCTACTTTCACAGCCAGTGTCAAAGGTAGAACTTTTTTTTTCATTTCTTCATAATCATAAACACACTTTTATTAGCATGAGCACTTCTGATCGAGCTGTTCTATGGTATGCAAATAACACCATAACACTACGGAGATTAGATCATTCCTTACATCTTAAGAACCATTACAGCCAGTGCAGTGATCATCACAAATTCACACAAATAAATAAATAAATAAATAAATAGAATTTGGTATTTCTGAAGTGAAACATTAGCTTTTTCTAGAGAAACACAAGTTTTAGAGATGCACACAGATCTTCACCTACTTCTTTGCAGTCCTGCTTCTCCATAACTTCCCTGCATCAGTATGGGAATAGTATAGTAAAAGTAAAGATAAATAGTTATCATTTTTGTTTAGAATAATGTGATTTTAAAAGTTAGAAGAATTTCTTTTGATAAGTCAATTACGGTCTTGCCTTGAGCAGACCATGACCCAGTCTGTGATTAAATATTTACATTTTCATTCTAAGTCTTCCTTCTGGCAAGAAAGAACTGCAAATGCCTTGGTGCCCTCTTGGGTTCACAGAGCGGGCAGAGCTTCAGCTCCAACGTCCCTTTCAGAAGGGGGTGAAAGCCATACCCCTTGCTATGTTACTGTGTGTGGGGCAGAGAGCTGACACATGCAGCTGAAAACCATTCCCTTGTTCCTTTGCAAGGATGTGTTGAAATGAAAATGCACTTAAAAAAGCATTAACTGGCTGAATAGTGTTATTTTCTGCATTTAGACACTACCCACAAGTGATAAATTTAAAGTGAAATTCATTACCTTTGTTGAGTTTACCAAGAAAACATTCAGGTTATAGAACAACTAAAATATATATATAACCATCCCAGGCACCACATGATTCCTTTAAATTAAAAAATACAATATCATCTATATATAAATAAAAGGGATAAGCGGTTGTCTCAAACTATTTAGAAAAGCATATAAGGAAAATAAAAGCAAAAGAGTTCCTGAATATTTCCTTCATGCTGTATACTTTTTTTTGTTGTTGTTGTTGCTATTAGCAATCGGCATGATAAGAAGCTATCTAAATGTTATCGATATTTTTGCCCATCCTCCTGACTCCTGAAATGCCTGTTCTGAACTAGTTTGGACAGTAGGCTCCTGTCCTCTCCTCTTTAGGACAAACTCCAGCTATGATATAGACATAAATCATTTAAACAACAACTGCTTGGTCAGGGACAAAAAGAATGAAATATTAAAAACAGAATAAATGAGAAATTATATGCTCCAGCAAACCCCAGCTGAGTGCCTAGCTGAAGAACACAGTCAGCTGAACTCTTTATTCCTCTCTTCCTTCACTTTCTCTGTTAATCAAAATGACTTGACAAGTTTTGCTTCACATTAGATTGAAAGCTCTTCAGAAGCGAGGCTCTGTGCATCCTTGCACACGTCTGTACCCTGACTGCAGCCTCTGGGCATGGCTGCAGCTCCAATACACAATGGAAGAATTCTAAATGTATATCGCAGCTCCCTGCTGTATTATATTACATCCATCTATCCATATATCTCTAAGTATAGAAGAGTAAGACCACTAATCCTAGAGCTAAAATAAACTGCAGATTATTTTAGGATAAAATCAAGCAGAGTTATGTAGGAATACTGACAAGACTTATGAAATTGAATTAATAATTTAAAGAACCCACACTTCAATATGAAGGCAAAAGTCCTTAATTAAGCCTGTGTGAATTTTAAAGGAAACAGCTAATTAGCAGTCCCTGAAACACATCATCATGTTTCAAAACAGAAACTAGTTCTAGAGAAAGTAGGAAGCTGGGCTTTAAAGCCTTTACTACTACAGTTATTGGACAAGATTAATGAGGCTTATGTAACTCATTTGCCAGGATAAACTGAGATCCTCTTGCATAAACCTTAAAAACAGACAAAGTGGGACAGATATACCCAAAGCAGAAAGCACGTGCAAAGCACAGACACTAAGTGTCCACTGCATGGACACCTCAACAGCTTCTCAGGCACCTAAACATAGTCATAAAGGCAGGCTCTGAGTAGATGTTGGATTGTTTCTCCATGCACCCATAGCTGCCTCCTAGAAGCCTACAATCTGTAGTGTCTGCAGTAATTCAACACATCTTTCCTTCACTTCAGCCCTCTAAGCTGATAAGCCTAACCCTTATAAACTCTCCTATTTTCCCTCTCTGTAGTCATTACCCTATGCTCCCGGCTGCTTACTGAGTCCAC